ACCTCTGGGGAGGAGAAGCCACTTTTGTCTCCCAGTGCTGCATATGGAAGCATTTGCAGCCTAAGCAAACAACAACTTTCTGACCCCAAACATTGAGGGTCAGAGTTGAGGGCAAAGTCAAAGTTTTCCCAAGTCTCTCTCCCCCCCCCCCATTCTTGGAGAGGGGAGTAAGGGTTGCTTGCTTTGGCTGTGCATTCCTGTTTTCAGGAGGGTACAGGCACCTGCAGCCAAGCTGATCTTTTTGCAAGCAGCTCCACACTGCTCCTTTCAATTTCTGATTTTGGAAGTTGAAAGGGGCTGCAGGCGCTGCTTCGAAGAGCAGCACAGGGAAGAAGATGCAGTTTCTACTTTCCCCTCCTTGAGCCAGAAGTGCTCCCACTGCCTATCAGCTGATGGATCCTGATTGTCTGATTGAAACCCCATTATTGCCTGCCCTACGTCTGACATCATGTATGATGTCTGATATAGTGTGTGTGAGTGTGGCTTCCCTACTGTGGCTTAGCAGTTGTAGACACAAGGGTGGCGAATCTCAGGCCTGCGGGTCAATCTTGGTCAGCTAGGGGAGCCAAGATGACCTGCAAGACCATATCCGCCTAAATCACAGCCACCTGTCCATCAGCTGATGTCACTGGTAAATGCCATAAGATTCCAGGGTGGGTTACAGTATTAGAGTCTTCAATTATTTTTTAAAAATAAAACCATTAGAATTACATAAGACAGTTTCAGATGGTACAGAACAGTATAAATTCAGCAAAAGAGGTCGGTTCACAAAAGAAAATAATTTAGACTGGCAGAGGCCTGAGTAAAGTGATTCCGTGAAAGCTGTACAGTGAAGATGCTAGGTGGTAGTAAAGAATTAATCACATTAAATAATCATGCCACATTATTACAGTAGTTAGAGTGTTGTTTGACTGGCACCTGGGAGACCAGGATTCAGATCCCCACACAGCCCCACAAAGTTCACTGGGTAGCTTTGCACCCGTCACAGCCTCACAACCTAATCTACTTCACAGGGTTGTTGTGAGGATAAAATGGAAAGGAGGAGAAGTATGTATGCCACTTTGAGCTGCTGGGATTAAAGCTGGGATATGAATGTAATAATACACGGGGAGAAATATTGATTGATTGGTCGCCTTTTCTTACACAAACTAATATACTTCTGTATATCTGGAGAATCCTACAAGTATGCAGAAGCCACCACTTAGTGACCCTCTTTTTCTGCCAAACTGAAAGGCACTAGATGATCCAAATTCTGTGTGAGAAGAGGATGATTAAATGTCTCTGCTTAATTTTAAAGCAGGATATTCAGTGATGCTGCTTTTCTCTTTATTTCCAGACAGTGTCTTCAGTGAATCATGAAATACTTGCAAGAATGTTTATTCTGTTTGTTTCCCCCCCTAATATAGTATGATGCTGGCTATTATGTAACTTTTAAGATTGTCAACTTTAATTCCCCGTCTGTTACTGCCCCCCCCCCTGTACTTTACATGCTTCACTGCCAAATAAGGCAGCTTGCCAGGAAACTGTGACTCCTGAAGAAGCATGGAAAGTTAAGGGTAAAACATGCTATAGCCAGAGAAACTCTATTCCAAATGGACTTGTGTAGAACAGTGATATCCAGTGACTTGTTAAATTAGCCACGGATGTTTATTATGTAACACTGGCTAAGGAGATATGTGGTACCTTCAGTCTTGTTTCAGACTTCGTGCTTCAAGTCAGACTGATGCAAAATCATGTATAGATGAAGAAAATTAGGTAATGTGATTAGGCAAGTTTCTGAATTGGATAGCTACGCATTTTACAAGAGGAGCATCCAAGTAAGATGAGGTAAGATTACTAGTGCAGAAATAGGATAGCGTGAGCTTGGATGTTAAGAGTTTGCTATACAAATATTCACTTTTTCAAATTTCTTTTTAGTGATGCTAATTGCTTTTTCAGTGCTTGGTTTTGGGAGGAAAAATATCTTAGAATATAAGTAATAGATAGCTCTCTCTTTTTGTATGTATTTGCCTGTTTCCTTTTTACATCTGTTCTCTCAGTTCTGTGTGAATGAAAGGTTAGATTAATTATCCACATCATATTAGCAGTCTGAATGGAGCATCCAAGCAAAGCCTTAAGACGTAACGGTTCATGCTTATACTTATACTTGTATACCACCATTTTCTTATCAATGCTGAAGACATAAATTTATAATGTATTGAATTTATCCATTCATCAGGTATTATAAATAACTGTAATTTGTTGCCTTGCAGCTCACTCAGTAGAGTATGAGACTCTTAATCTCAGGGTTTGAGCCCCACATTGGGCAAAAGATTCCTGCATTGCAGGCTGTTGGACTAGATGACCCTCTTGGTCCCTTCCAACTCTGCAATTCTATGATTCTTCAATTTGTCAACTTTCTCTTATTAAAGGATTTTAATTGTTGATGGCATTGTGCGCAGCATTCCTATGTGCAGCCTGAAATTAAATCTGTATTTTGAAGTATGCAGCTAGGTGAATTCAATCTCTCCTTTTGGATATTAAAGACCTTTTAACATAAAGGGCATTGGTGGTTGTAATTTTGGTTTCTGGATTTTTTCGAGAGGATAAAAGTGACAGAACTACTACATTGAGTAGGCATCTAGCTGGTTGTCCAAGGGACAGCAGAGCACAAGGGAGAGGGACAAAAGCTCTACCTTCCAGCTACCCCATACTTGCTGTTTTCAGACAATTCATAGTTGAAAGTCCTAGACTGATGCACTGCTTACTCTAGATGGGGTACAAATGTGCTGTGATGTCGTGCACTGGTGAGTGGTGAGCCAGTCAGCATCTCTGCTGATAGTCCATGGTTCACTAATTGTCTACTGTTGAATTGTATGCATGAAAATACTTGGTGTAACCATATTCACAATCAAATATACCTGACTTTGTAGTTTTCTCTTTAACAAGTTAAGTTGAAGAGCAGCACTTGTTTGCAGGATCAAATCTCCTTCCTCCTCCTCTGTTGTGCCGTAAATCTTGGCTCGTTCTGAATCTGGATATCATCCAGATGTCATTAGGATATGAGACGAAGAGGAAAGTCAAGAGCAAACCATGGATCAGAGCCATGAAATTAGAGATGCATTGCCAAAGAGCAGGGCAGTTTTTAGAGTCCAATCAAATACAAGGACAGGTAGAAACACATGAAGACATTCTGAGGGAGACTGGTAGGAATGCACAAAGGCAGATGTAAACAAATGAGTTGTGATGTTAGGGATAGCACACAGAGTGTTGTTGGCAGAACAGATGTCTGGAGGAGGAAAAGGAAGAGCAGATAGTGGAATTTCTCTAACAAAAAAAAGCCCAGCTTTGGCATGGTCACGTAGTGAGAGCCCTGGCTTCAGACCCAGGAAGGATTGGGTTTAAGTGAGGAGATATGGTATCTTACAGATTTTCTCTTTATTTTGCATATATCATTCACACATTCTTGGAATGTTCGAGTGAAATAGTATTTTGACTATAAAATTGGAAACAAATTCATTTGTATATGTTGGTTAGGCTACAGTGAGGTTGCAAAGGGTTCCCCCCCCCATAAGTTCTTCAGTGATATATTAATACAGGTTTAGGTTTTGTGAGTAATTGTAATTTTTAACAGTTTCATAGTTAACTTCAGTTAGAAGACAAATGTCTATGTAATGCCCTTTTAATATCCCACCACCTGCTTCTTTCTTTTTTTCACTAGGGAGCTTTACAGAGTAGTTAATACTTTTTGTTTTTATGTTTATGTTCCAGTTCAGCATGGTTGACTTTGTTAGTGGTGGTGGACTCTCCTTCGTTGCAGTTTTTAAGCAGAGGTTGGATGGCCATCTGTCATGGATGGTTTAGTTGAGATTTCTGACTTGCAGGGGATTGGGCTAGATGACCCTCGGGGTTCCTTCCAATTCTACAATTATATTATTCTATAGTATGTCATATAATGTAAATAAAAAATTCTGGTGTAGTTAGGAAACCAGTAGGTAAAACTACTATGGATAGCATCTAGCAGTGTTTAATTATTTGTTTTCTGTAGCAGATCAACGCTCAGTTCTATGCATGTTTACTCATTGTTGTTGTTTTTAATGTCTGTGTTTTAATTGGGTTTTTAAAGTTTTGAATAGCTTTTATTGTTTTATATTGTATTTTAATTGTCATTTAATTTGTTTTCTGATGTATGCCGAAAACCTATGGGATGACGATATAAATGGATTCTTTTTTAAAAAATTACTCTGACATAAGTATACAGAGCCTAATGGCATTTGCTACCAAGTAAATGGCCACACTGGACTGTCTGCCATGCTTACCCACCTCCACAGGGCCATCTGCTACCAGCTATCTTGTGGGTAGGATTTTAGGAGAAAGAGGGAAACAAATTCTGATATCAGAAGGTTTCCCCTCTTCCCCCAATAGGGCTATCTACCACCAACTGCTCTGTGGGAAGGATCCTGATGGCTTGAGGTCCAGCGCAGAGGGCCTTCTGGTGGTTTCCTCACTGCGAGAAGTCAAGTTACAGGGAACCAGGCAGAGGGCCTTCTCGGTAGTGGCACCCTCCCTGTGGAATGTCACCCACCAGATGTCAAAGAGAACAACAACTACCAGACTTTTAGAAGACATCTGAAGGCAGCCCTTTTTTAATGTTTGATGGACTACTGTATTTTAATATTTTGTTGGAAGCCGCCCAGAGTGCCTGGGGAAACCCAGCCAGATGGGTGGGGTATAAATAATAAATTATTATAATAATATATTATTATTATGTTTTGATATAGATTGTGGTGATTTTATTAATGTATCTTTCTTTTACTTGTAATCCTTGGAAGGATTTGACATCCTGAAATGTGGGATATAATTAAAAACAACAACTTGTCAAGTCATGTGGTCCATTGACAAACTCCTTAGCAATCCTTGGACACTTTAGGAACTTAATTATTACATAGGCTCCCTTCAGATTTCATGTCAAAAATGTTTACCATTGGGTTTCTTACTTTCCTTTTACAGGGTTTTTGTGAACAGAAGTCTAGCCATGGAAAAAATAAAGTGCTTTGGATTTGATATGGATTATACATTAGCCGGTGAGTGTATATGATGAATATGTATATTATCTATAATTGAACCTCACATCTACAGGAAGCAGAAATAGATTGGTATTCCTCATGGTAGCAGGTGTTTTTCTCAGTAGCATTAGAGTAGGGAAGAGCTGAGTAGCACACAGATGCTGGGGACATGTTGCTGTCCTGATAGTTTTGACAAACATCTGGAGAAAAGTTGGCTTCTCCAGGCCCATAGAAGCGTCCATTAAGGGAGGTGTGTTGCCCATTTTTGCGAAGGTCTGTTCACTTTAATTGATGAACCCTGCCACTATAGATAAATGAAGTCCCTTAGGGCTGCCATCCTTTATACACATACCTGGGAGTAAGCCCCCCAGAATACAGTGGGAGTTACTTCTGCATATATGTGTATAGGATTGTGCTATAAATATCTTTAAAGTATTTCCTCCTAATGCTTAATCGTTGTATTTTCTTTTTCCTTTGCTCTGGGTAGTGTTGCTTCCCCTTGTTCCCAAATTTGCAATATTGGTGTAGTTTCCCCCCTCCCTCCAGATTAATTTTACCTAAGGTCTCATTATAATCCATTAAACATCTTAAAAATATGTTTTTTTTCCTGTCAGTTGATACCACTAAATTATTGCTCCACTCCTTAATGTTTGCTATTGAATACTGCAGTTTCTTTGTTTCTTCTTTCAAGCCACTGTTGCCTGTGTTCCATGCCTTCTGTGTGTCACTTCAGTAATCAAATTTATTTACAGTGTTTATTTCACTGGCTTCCTCTAGCTGTAGCTAACCTTTTTGGGGCTGAGGGTCGCATTGAGACTGCATGTCAACATGGTTGAGACCAAAGTGTAGAGCTGGGTGTGGTGAGAACTACAGTTCTCAAAGCTATCTTCCCAAAGACTTTCCCATTCTACACTATTTTAAATCATTTTTTATCATTATTTATTAATCATTAAATTTAGTAATAAAACTTAAAGGACAAGTTGTGGGGATCTTGGAGGGTCACAAATTTATTGCATCACAGAATCACAGCAGAGGAACCTTGGAAACAGTTGGTAAAATGTTTAATTTTTCTAAAGGGACAAATGGTGAGCAGGGGCTTGGAACACAAAGATGTTGGTATTACAGCCCTTGCAGAAGCAGTCAACAAACTAAAAACAATAATGATTATAAAAAGGGCATATTTAGGGCAGTCCTTAGAGGGTGATAAAAAAAACCCTTTTGGTATCACAGTGGGTATCAAATAAATTAACTTTTCCAAGACAAGCAGCAGTTTCAGACCTCCTCTTTCTGCAGGAACGCTTATCTCTAGGCCTGAAGCCCAACACCTTGCATTGTCAGACCTTGACACTTCCATCTATTGTCTCCAAAGACCCAGATCGACTTATTGTCTACTCACCCATTCTTCCCACATTTTCCTTCAAGCCCCGCCAGTGCAACATAGGTTTCCCTATTGGCTCTACAACAACCTCCTTTTCATCCGCTCAAGTTGGTCCTGCTAGGCTTACTATCCTTTAAAGTCATGTTCCTTGTAGCCATTACCTCTGCCAGATGCATTTCAGAACCACAGGCACTGTCAGCCACGTGTGATTTTTTTTAAGGCAACCTTTCCTAGTTTTTTGCTGGCTTTAAATTGTCAGCGAATTGTTTTTTCACCTTCAAAAACTGCCAACCCCTTTTTAACCTAGGAAAACTGGTCTGCCATGAGCAAAACAAAACAACTAAAAAACCTAAGCTGATGCTTCGACTGGCTAGATTTGTATTCTGTGGAGCTATATGTAATAGTGGAGTATTCTTTTTACCCCTTCTCCAAAACTGGAGCTTAGACTAATTTACTGTGGCTCCTCAAGCTTCTCTGATAGGGTAGCACTGAGAACTAGGTATCTACAAGCTTTCTACCCCTAGAAGTTATCTTCTAAGTTATTACAGGATTTGGCTGCTTGCATACAGGGCCCTTAGTAATCTGAGCTGTTGCTTTAATTAAATAAATGGATATTGCTTTCTTATGCTTTTCCTTAACACATTTTTAGCTGGGGCAGAGATACTTTATCAACTAGGGCTCCCTGTAACTCATAGGTGGCAACCTCATATTTCTATGGGTGAGATCTAGCATTGCATGAATAGTTTCTTCTAGTACAATGGGTCTTCTTCAAGCTCCCCAAATCTCCTCTGCAGATTTGAGGCACCCTCTGGAACAGTTTTGGGAGGCATGTGTGGACTGCAATATGGAGGAGAGAAACAGGAAGAGCCATTGTGCTACTGGAGTTCCTTTTGCACAAGTGGGCAGACATTCTGGGATCTTATCCCAGGAACCTGGCAAACCAGGCCTCTGGATTTTTAAAAAACATATCTAACTAATGTTCTGTACTTGGGCATATTAGCCTAAAACAATAATTCTGTACCAGAGGATATTTCTACAAATATGTAATAACTTCTGTTTTATTACATGGTAGTACTTTCATTGAAAGATTCTGAGTACAGTGGTACCTCGGGTTACAGACGCTTCGGGTTACAGACGCTTCGGGTTACAAACTCCGCTAACCAGGAAGTGGTTGCTCCAGGTTAAGAACTTCACCCCAGGATAAGAACGGAAATCGCTCGCCAGCGGTGCAGCGGCAGCAGGAGGCCCCATTAGCAAAAGCACACTTCAGGTTAAGAACCGTTTCAGGTTAAGAACGAACCTCTGTAACGAATTAAATTCTTAACCTGAGGTACCACTGTACTTCTGTTTATGGTATCTTCAGTTCTGTAAGTATATTCTGTTAATGTGTCGAGGGCTGACTATATAGTTGTTCAAAGTCCATCAGGAAAAATGTTAATTAAAATAGTTTAGCATTCTGGCTTCCTAAGTACATTCTCTTTATGACAGAAAAGCATCTAAGCCTGCATACTTCATAGCTACTTATATTCCCTTTTTCTGTATTGCTATATTGTGCTTTCTTTAGAGATTTCCTCCTTTGTAGGGAAAGTTATTTAGGATGAGTGATTTGCATGAGTGATTTGTAGTTCTTCCCCAGCCAATGCTTTTGTTTTTTACCAAATGCAGCTGCAGTCTGTAGAGGAAGATGAATATGAGGATTAGCCATTTTCACCTGGGTGCTTTTCCATTAAATGTCTCTTGTACTAGAGACAACTGAGTGTGCAAAATTGGTCTGGGAAGAAGGGTTTAGCTACCCCTTCCACTATTCTTCCAACTGACATTAGAACCTTCAATAGCAGCATTTCATTATAAGACACACCAAAACAATCCAGGACTACTGAAAACATTTCTACTTCTAATGTCTCATTTGGTGCTTTAATACTGACAAACAAGAAAGGGATGTATATCAGTGAATTAATGTAAAAAGGAATTTTTTTGTAACTTCAACATTGTCAACATGAAAATATATAACTACCTTGGGTGGGTTCATTTGGGAAGGTGTCCTTGTACATTAATTGTTCTCGTCACTTTGGATGGCAACTAGTTGCTGAAGTGTAACTCATTTGGAAGTCATATAAACACACAAGTGGGTAATTTAAAATTTAATCATTGTGTTATATTAGCTAGCTTCATGTTTCAGGTGCTTTGCCTTGTGTTTAATTTTGTTAGCCTACATCACTGGGTTAGTGATATTGCTGTGTAAATTTCAGTTTGCCAACATTGTAGTAATAGCAGAGAGCTAAGTTGGAAATGGTGTTTCGATCTTGGTAATCGGTGGTTAGTTTCTGCTTCTTAATGAAGAGCTGGATCATAGAAGAGAATTAACTTGTAGACAGATTCAGGCAGGCCATTGTATTTAAGTTTATACATTATGGCACCAGTAGGATTTACTCATGAGAATTTACTTTTGAGTAAGCTTGCGTGGAAGCATACTTATAAGTTAGCTAATCTAGAAATATGTTAATATTTCCTCTCCTTCTACCCACAAGTTTATTCTATAAGCTTTAGGAAACAACTGTCTTGAATCTCAGATTCACCATGATATTCATTAGATAACCTTACATTAGTCACTTGATGAGCATATGTCACAGTGTTGTAGTGAGGGGGGAAATGAACTCCGCTCCATAAGCAACTTGGATGAAGGTGAAATAGAGGCATGACTGATAAATACAATGTTTCCTTGTCACTCTGGACAACCTGATAAATTTTTGGTTAACCAGAAATTTGATTTCTTTGGAATAATGAACTGATTATAAGAGTTTCTACATATGTTCAAGCAAGTACAGATACAATTTCAAAGGTTTTGTACAGGATTTAATTTTGGTGACTTAATAATTTTGAATATCTCATTGCTCATTTTCTGTATTTGCACGGTAAGACCAATGTATATGTAAACTTTCCAGGAGATGGAGCAAATGGAAGATAATTAGTGTGTGTATATTGTTAATAATTCTAATTATTAATTATTAATTCTAATAACAATCTTGTATGGTATGCACAGTATTCTTTATTTAACCATGCTTCCTTCATAAATCATTTTAGCAGACTCAGGGCAAATTTGTAATGTAGAAATTATGTGTTTGGCAGTAGATGTAATTTTTTTAAGGAAGCAAAGCCAACTGAACTGTGGAACTCCACCAGTATTTGGCATAATTTTGTATTTCTTTTGACATCCTGGCTCTGATCCTAAAAAAAGCTAACTTAAGGAAGTTAACAGACAGAAGTTTTCTGTCTCCTATTTCCTGCTACAGCCATCTGAACCTCCTGTGGGTGGCCAGAGACCTTCCTGAACAATGTGGGGTGGGTCATGAGCCAGCAAGGAACCATACCCCACTTTGCTCAGGTAAGCCCTCGCCCTCCAGGTAGACTTTTGGGGGGTGCAGGTGTGAATGCAAAAGGGAGCAGGGGACAAGAAACTTATTTTCTATGAACACTCTTGTTGACTTGTTTCAGAATCCAAGCCAATGTTTTTTTTGTGAGACTACCTGGAATATTCAAAAATAGGACAGATCTTTTCTTATCTGACTTTGCAGATAAGCCGTGAATGAGCCGAACATTCATAATTTTGTCACTGTTGGAATTAAAATTAATTATATCACTTATATTGGGGTTTTGATATCTTACAATGTTTTGATTTCTCAAGTGTTTATAGCTATGAGGGTTAGGAGTTGTTGTTGTTTAAACTTTTTGAGATGCATAAGATTCTTGCTCAAAATTTATATACTCCTTGATTGTCAGAAAACCTCTAAGCAATTTACAGTACACTGCAGTAGTCCATCTTGAAGTTACTAGAGCAGGGATTACTATTGCCATCCTCTCCTAGCCCAGGAATTGCCATGGCTGACAAACCAACCAAAGCCGAAAATACACTCCATGCTACCAAAACCACTTGGGGCTCAAGCAATGTTGTCTGATCAAGAGGCAGCCCTAAGCTGCATACCTATTTCTTCAGGCAGGGTACAACTCAGTCCAGAACAGACAGCCTTCCCAGTTCCCAGATAAAGGAACCACCCAGCAACAGTAGCTCCTCTTTTAGCTTTTTTTTATTTTCAATACAAAAAAAAATCCTTCCAGTAGCACCTTAAACACCAACATTTTCAATGTTGGTGTCAACACATAGTTCACAGTGGAAATTATTTGCAAAAATGTAAGTATAGATTTTGGTAGGCAAGGGTAAAACAGGAGCCAAACACTGAAGAACACGACAAAATATGCTGTGGAATGTGAACTGTCTAAATTTGGAGTCAGTTAAGGAGATTGATCCCTTAATATAGTGGTGCCAAAGAAAAGGAACGAGTATGTCATGTTGACAGTGTCAAATGTATCAAGTAAAATGTTTTTCTAATCTATTCCAAGTTTAGAAATATTGTCTGTTGTTGCTGTCAGATACCTGAATAGATGCTGGTAATGTTTAGTGCTATATTTATAAGATACTATGTGCCAGGGGAGTAGTGATTCCTTCTTAGCTGTCCTTAAGAAATCAGGAACACTGCCCCCCTCACCTTATTCTTTGAGTAATTCCCTGTGCCTGCCTTAATAGCAGTTAAGGAAAATGCTGAGATGAACCATAACCATGTTTATCCTAACCAGCAGTAGCTGCTGGTGCCCACTGAAGCCGATGGAGATGCTTGGAGATGATTTTTGGCGATCACTCGTTGCCAAGTAAGATTGTCTTCCATAAACACAGTTTTAACAGTGGGTTCATAAGTGACTAGAGAGGCCAATTCCGGATCCACACGCCCTTCCACAGTGAGGACATAAGTTTCTAGGCAGGAGTTGATCATGGTGAGGGTTTGCCAAGCGTGCCTTCCTCTTAGTACGTTTCTCCCTTTCATCCTGAGTTTGAGCATCTTCAAAGCCCATGACACCTTTGGTAAAGGCTGTTCTCCAATTGGAGCGCTCGCAGGCCAGTGTTTCCCAGTTGTTGGTGCTACATTTTTAAAGATTTGCCTTGAGAACATCTTTAAACCTTTCCATTCTTGAGTTGGGAATAGAGTAGTTGCTTTGAAAGATGGTAATCGGGCATCTGAACAACATGACCAGTCCAACGAAGTTGTTGAAGAATCATTGCTTTGACACTGGTGATCTTTGCTTCTTCCAGTACACTGGCATTAGTTCTCATTGGACCCATCCCCTGCAGCTTCTTTCTTTTTGTATCAGAGTTTTAAATTTGCCAAAGTGTGTTATAGTTTTTTGTCCTTTGTAAAAGTAGGACACAGTACAGTTTTAGTGGTTTTGCAGAGAAACAGCTCTGGACATGTTGAACATTGAGGAATGATTCTGATTTGTCTTACTTGGGTTCAGAGGCAATGCCCAGTTTCCTTTGGGGGGACACACATATGTGTTATGCTAATTTCTCTGCCCTGGTTGGCTGAATTGCTGGATTGCCTTTAAGGTTGCAAATGAAGAAGGGGAGCAAAAGTGCCTAAGGGTGTCCCACCAGTTACTAAGTAAATATATTCTACTGCCTTGAGATGGGTTGGAGGGGTCTCCAGAGCACAGCAGTAGTTTTGGATTGGGATTGGCTGAGCAGTGCAAATGGTGACATAAGTTCAAAACTAAGGAGTGTGGATGGAACAGAAAAAATTGTTTTATTTTAAGGAAATGTTTATTTCGTTGTGGACATGTGGTCAAATAGTGGTACATCAGATCTTTTCTGAAGAAGTTAATTTGCTATTTTTAGAAACTGGATTAGTTTACTTGGATGACAGATTTGGATGCATATATGTTTTTTATGATGCTGCTTAAAAAAATAGTTCATTGATGGTAGTTTAAGCTGGAAACATGCTTAAAGTTTGTGATGGTGCCCAATGAATTTTGTACTGTCATTAGACCAGAGTGTATGTCTTACTGTTGCTTCTCATTAAATCATTAACTAACAGACTACTAATTTGTGAGACATGGTTTGCTGAGGAATTGGACCTGGACTGAAACTCCAAAAAACTGCAGAAAGCAAGCCTAACAGCAGAAAAAGCAGCAGGATTCTCTTTCCTTAATCTGCTTAATGATAATTGAGCACCTTAAAGTCAGTGGGTGATCTCCAGTTGTTGCTCATTGGGCTAGTGGAAACATCCCTTTTTGGGAAAGGCAATTTTGACCAATTACCCCTGCCCACTCCAGCCCAATGTACCTCCAACACCCTCAGCTGGAGAGGCTATCAAATGAAAGATGCTGCATTGTTCAACAAAAGTGTCTTCCTCTCATACAGTAGCTACTAAACATCTAACATGTTAGATTGCTTCCTCTGCCTGAATCAAAGCAATTAATAGTGATAAGTCTTGTTTATCCAGCTATTTATGCTGGTTACTGTCAAGAAACCTATGGTGCAATAAATAATAACTTCCCAGATTGGCTATCAAAATTGTGACTGTTGCAGAAAAGACATTTTTACAGGGTATGGGTGATGCTGCAAATTTTAAATTGGTCAGTGGTCTGCAACAGAATATATGCATGTTTTTTCTCATAATCTAGAACTCTGTTAAATAGATTTATGGGGGGAAAGCCCATTTTCTTTTCTTTGTATCTTGCCTTTCTTCTGTCATGGCATGGTATATGTGCTTAGCTTCTGTAAGGTGGTGACCTCACGTACACTCAGACTATACTTTGGAATAAATACCTAAATGCATGTGTACTAACATGTGGCAGGTTTATAATTAGATTTTTTAGAATCACACAATGGAAAACCTGGAGGTGTAAGAATAGCTGGAGGCTCCTTGTAATCTTTGAAGGGCCAGATGTGAGTATAAGACTAGATTATTTCAAACAAAGCAGAACCATCTCTAGATCTTGTGCTTGGTTGTGACCTTCCCAACTTTGTTAAGAAATATTTTCATCATATCATAGCCAATTCCCCAAAGGTAAAGCTAGAAGTATTCAAACCCCAACTCAAAGTGTTACCTAGAGATTCTCTAGTAAATAATTTATTTACTGACATGGAGATTTATTATGGGAATATTGGAATGTAGTTAATATTGCAAAAATGTGGTTCAAAATATAGTTTATAGCTGCATTTTAGTTAGTTACAGCATATAATCCATTGCATATTTACCAGAAGTAAGTCCCACTGTGTATCAAGAAGTAATGCCAGATACGCATTTCGCAAGATAGCTCAGTTGATAGAGCATGAGTCTCTTAATGTCAGGGTTATGGGTTTGAGCCCCATGGCATTGCAGGTGGTTGGGCTAGATGACCCTCATGGTCTCTTCCAACTCTCCAATTCTATGATTCTAACATTGCAGCCCTATTCAGGTCTACTTAGAAGTAGGTTCCATTGAGTTAATTGGTGCTTACTCCCAGTTAGGTGGCATAAGATTGCAAGTGTTGCTCCTTTTCAAGCCATTTGTGCAGATTTGTAGACTTACTAGCTCAACTGAATCATACCCCATGAGACACGAATCTCATATCTATCTTTCCTGCCTTTACTGTAACATGGATATCTGCCCATTAACAGACCAATCCTTTCTTTTAGAGGTTAAAGAATATGCCTTATAATATACATGACCCCATACCCACATTACATGTTCAGGACTCTGGATGGATTATGTGGAAGTGAGCCTGTTGCCTCCCCTTCACACTTTACCACCTTGGGTTGCCAATGCGTAGACCTAAATCAAAAAGTGTAAGGAAAAGGGCTGTCGCTCAATGGTAGAGCATCAGCTTTGCTTGCAGTAGGTCCCAGGTTCAATTCCTGGCATTTCCAGGTAGGGCAGGGAGAGATCCTAGTCTGAAACCCTGGAGAGCTGCTCCCAGTCAGTGGTGACAGTACTGAGTTAGATGGACCAATGGCCATACTTGGTATAAGACAGCTCCTCTGTTCTTATATACTACTTAGAGCTATTAGTTGATACACTCTTTTGGAATAGCTTGGTGTATTTCGTTATTAAATTGGATGCTCATAGAAATGCATTCAAAAAGTTAGGTTTAAGTTTCAGTATTGATTTAAACACATTTCTTAGGAAATATGTGTTTACATTTTGTATTCAGTATTGATTTAAACACATTTCTTAGGAAATATGTGTCTAAATTTTGTTAATGTGCCATGTTTACTTCTTACACAATGCTGCTATCCTTGTTACCAGCCCTCACTAAAATAGTTATAATTTGGCAGGAAGAGCAAGGAGTACTTAAACATGCCAGTTAAACCATGGCACATGAGTAGATATTTGATACACAATTTATAATCTAATATTGTAATTTGTAAGTATTTCTATTTTTGCTAGAATAAGATTTCAAAAGATCCATATTTTCATCAGAAGTCTAATTTCTGATCCACATTGTAGCATTTCGTTCTTATATACAGACACAACAACCTCTGCCTGATACCTGCAAAATATCCATTTTGAAATCTTGATCTGAGAGATTTTTTTGTGGATTTGTAGATAATGACAAACCATGTCTGGTAAACCAGTATTTGGTCTTTCTGAAGTCAATAGCATCAGCAAACGAGCACACCATTGTTAGCACACCACCACTGTTGCAGTTTTAAAGTCAGTTTGATTCTTTCTTTTTGACAGGGGAGTCCAGTGTAACTCCTTCAAGACTGGAGTGACACTCAGCATCTGCATCTGCCTCATGTGAGTTAAAATCTTGGCAGCAGCATTTTGCACTACCTGGAGTGGCTGCAGATATTTTTTTTATCTTTTTCAGAAAGACTATAAAAATGGCTACTGTACCGGACTTGGCAGCAAAGGTAACACTAGCATGCATGGGTATTCTATACCTAACAATATAGCTTTCTGTGCAGAGTAGCTTCTCTCGTGACATGCTTATTTCTTAAGGAAACTCATACTTTTTGTAGGATGAAAGTAATTTTGAATGCAGTACATTTATTTTGGTATTGCAGTTGATTTGAACAAAAATTGTGTATGTTGTCAGCAGGTTTCTGTCTTCAAAGCTTTGCCCCATTTGCCAAGGTACACACACACACCACCCCAAACTTGAGAACACAGTTTGTTTCCATATGCACATGATGATTTCAGTACATCTCTCAGTAGCCTTACTGTCTTTCAGCTGTATTACACTTGTTTGAAAGTAGTACATTTAGGGTAACTGCACCAATCTGATTTACTTCACAACAGATTATGCATGGCAACATCTCACTTGCCTGTTGTTGTTGTTGTTGTTGTTGTTGTTGTTGTTGTTTAATGCAATACTGTAATTTAATTACTGTAACTAAGGGTTTGCAGTTATTCATCTCACTGTTAATTAGCTTTCTCAATAATCGAGCAGTTTGAGAAGTGACCAGTGCTTTTTTTTTCTGGGGGTACGCATACCCCTAGACATTTTGTGAATCTTTGTACTTTTGTCCATTTACTGTATTCATTTCCCCCGATTTGAACTACAGTATAAAATGGTGATTTCCTTGAGTCAAAATGAGAGTACCCCTAAACATTTTTTTAAGGAAAAAAGCACTGATTATCACTCAAATGTACAGTTTACCTGTACATTAGTTATGGATGCTTTTTCCGTTATGCTACTCTTATTTTGGTACCCAGTCATTCATACTGGCAGTAATTTGCTTGGTTGGGAGCTCATATTACCTAAATGAGCACTTGTACAGCTTGCAGGAAAATGTCAGGAGCTTGTAGCTCATCCTGATTAATCTAGACTGCTGTGCAGAGTGTTGTCAAGTAGGGACATGTGCTCTGTGAATTCCAGCTCCATTCCCAGTTGTCTAATTAAAGGAAAACTTATATTGAACTATGTCACAGTAACCGGAGTGTGATGTTTGTAATCTATTTTCATCTTCTTAGTTTAATGTACACTGCAGATTCATGTTATATGCATGAATAAAAAATGCTCACTCAAGTGGGTTACTTAAGTGAAGTAGGAAATTTTCCCAATTATGCTTCCTTCTCTTCATTAGTCATATATACAGTATTTGTGTAAATTTCAAAACTTGAGTAATCTAGAGGATGTCAAATATGAAGTACAAGTTCACAAAGTGGGCTTGAGAGATCAATGGCTTCTCTTGGACTCAGGAAGAGGTAGGTCTTTTTTCAAAAAAGTTTGCATTTTTGGAGTGGAATAACTCCATAATGTATATGCAAATTTTGTATGGCAAAATTTCAATTAAAAAATAGTTCAATTTAAAAAAGGTCAGTTGGTTCGAGCATGGTGCTGATAATTCCAGGGTTGCAAGTTTGATCCCCGTATGGGATAGCTGATATTTCTGCATTACAGGGAGTTGGACTAGATGATCATGAGAGTCCCTTCCAACTCTACAATTTTATGATTCTATGGAAGGAGTCAGAGAGCAGATCTCAACACCAGTAATTATTTGCCAGTTATTGGACTGTATTTTAGGTGGGTTAGCCTTAGGATTTTAAATATATATACATGGCTATGTGGAATGGAATGCTTTATGTGGGTCCAGCTGACATGCGAAGGGGGTCTGGAATATATTCCCCACGCAAAATGAGGATTGCCTGTATTACCTTCAGCTACAAGGAAGAAGTAATAGGGTTTCTCCTCTTGAAAACTAGCAGAGCTGTGTGTTATGCATGTCTGCAGTCTCCTTGTGTCTGGAACAGAGACTGCTGTCCCTTAACACTCTCAATACCAAGGGTAGTTACATGACAGCTGCCCACATTACTAGGGGCCATATCCAGCCTTCCTTGTCCACTAATGCAAGAACTCTTGCACCAGCAGAAGACAGAGCTTAAAGGTAATCAAATGCAGCACTTACACTAGTGGAAAATTATTACACAACAGTGGATTCTTGTTGTGCATTCTGCTGCACAACAGCTTATTATTGTTGTGCAATCCATTGTACAGCAGTCTTTGGTGGCAGTAAATTGCAAATGATCGGTAATTTGACTAAATCTTAGGTAAGGTGCAGATGTTTATACGGAATGAGGTATAATTGGATAGTCATGTATGTTGCAAAAAAAGACCAAGGCGTAATAGTGAATCACATGTGGAACTGAACTACTGCAGGTATTTGGAATAAGAGAAATGCACTATATGTGTTTCTAATGTAAGCTTTATATCACTCTCTATACTATTTTTGCACTAGTTTGTTATTGTGCTGTTTTCAGTGGATCTTTCCCAAAGTTCTAAAGGCAGGGGTGGAGGCAGGAAGAAAAAAAGGGGACTTGTGTCTGTAGTAAATTATTTGGGGGGGGGTTTGAGGCTGGAGGTGCGGGAAGGGTATCTCTGTGTGTGACAGTTTTAGTCCATTGGTGACAGATTGGGGAGAAGAGAGAGCTGGAACTGAGGATGGGGCAAGTGGAACTGGGGGTAAAGATCGCATTCAGAGGAATAGGAAAGTGTATGGGCAGTAGGGAGGAAGGTAGGGTGGGTGCGTGTGAGAGAGAAAGAGACAGAGAATGTGTGTTTTAGGCAGTGGCAATACCAGAAAAAAATTATGGGGACAGGAGGGACAAAGTAAATTTCCAGGTGGGTGAGGTGTGTCCTACATGTTAAGATACCTGAAAGAAAGATATCAGTTTATGTTAAAGAGAGGAGTCCAGCAATGGGTGGGAAGTAGAGGGAGGGAGAAACTTGTTTGGGGAAAGTCTTTTCCCCACTGACCCCCTCTGGCACTGCTCATGGTTTTAAGGATCTGGTAATAGGCAGATGGAAGCAAATTGGGTTGAAGAGGGCATTTTCAGTGCTGTGGAGGAGCAAGAGGATTGGGAGAAAAGAAGGGGGAAATGCTAGTGTCCCTCTCTTCTCACCATACTCATTTTTCTCCCTCTTCAATTACTCAGCAGCCTCATATGGGAGAGATAAAGGATGTGGAGCCCTCACGTATTCCACAGTACAGTGGTACCTCGGGTTACATACGCTTCAGGTTACATACGCTTCAGGTCACAGACTCCGCTAACCCAGAAATATTACCTCAGGTTAAGAACTTTGCTTCAGGATGGGAACAGAAATCATGCTTCAGCGGCGTGGCGGCAGGGGGAGGCCCCATTAACTAAAGTGGTCTTCAGGTTAAGAACGGACCTCCGGAACGAATTAAGTTCTTAACCCGAGGTACCACTGTACTCCCAAAATCTACCATGTGTTGTCTTCAGCGTGAAATTCCAGATTCAGTGTAGTAAAACAGATGTTTTATTAACAAGCAAACACCCGGATAATGTAGAACATCCATTGACTGAAGTTAACTTTCTCTAACTGAACTAACTAATGGACATTAACATTAAAGAGACAGTAACAGAAATCATCCTGGGGTGTATGTGCAAAGGGGTCTGTAGAATAGAAGAAAGGAGGAGACATGGAAATGGGGGGTAGTCTGTGTGCAAAGGACAGTTGGGAAAAGGTTGGTAGGAAAAAGGGGGTTAGGGTGCTAATGGAGTGTGTGCAAAAGTAGTTGCAAATAGGGAATAGGAGGCATGGATGTGGGGGTGAAGATGAAAGGGGGACACACAAGGGGTTGCAAAATTGGAGAAGATGATGGCTTCATAATTGGTTAGAAGGTGAAGAGGGTGCTTAGTAGCTGCAGGTTACCATAAGGGTGGCAATCTACTACAAGCTAACCTGATAGCTGGCCTTTAGCAAACGACAACTTAAATTCTTATCTTAAACACCTCCTGACTAGATGCTTGATCTAAAATTAGGATTCATAATTGCATTCTGACTTTCACCAGTGGCCGTAAGTTTTATGCTCTTTTGATGTCTGTATGTAGAGGTGAAATAAGGTGAGTGTGTTAATGCTGTTTGGAATATATTTCCCCTGAGGCACTAACTAATGCTTTATTTGATGCATTCTGTCGCTGAAATATGAACTGTATTTCCACTCTGCAGAGCATTCCTGGTAGAATTAAATTTTAAAATCACTGGGTGGAATTCAACATCATGCTATTTTAAATGTTCCACTTGCACAAGCCTATCAGCTTGTCAGATGGAACGACCTCCCCGTGCACGCTGTTCTGGGGGCTTTTCTGATACCCCCCCAAGCCAATTTTAGTGAGAGAAAGGGGGAAACCCTGCTGTACAAGCATAAGCCTTTCTGCTGATGGGGTTTGTTTGGTGAATCCTGGCAGCTATGTCTGTCAAAGGTCATGCTTGCCTAACATACTGAGCCAATGGTTCCCAATTAGCTAATTACTGAGGACCCCATTACTGCAACACAATTTTTTGAACAAAATGATATCTGGTTTTCAGCATCATGATATATCAGCAGCTAAACATTGCAATATTCTATATATCACAATGTCTGAAATTGGAGATCAGGTGTGGGGATGAGGAACAGTCACAGAGATCAGGTGTAAGGGGGGGGGAGAGAGAGAAAGTGAGACACCTCCACCACATGGTTTGAGTGAGAGGGGATGGGGATGGGGGATGCAAGTCCACTGTGGCTGCTGCTGCTTTCCTGCTGACTGAGAAAAGCTGCTCCGCCTCAGTGCCAGGGGAAGGTAGTGCCTTGAAGTGAGGGCGATCAGCTGCCCTGTTCTCCCTCAGCATGAGGAGAAGGCAACGCTTTGCAATCGGCTGCCCTGTTCTCCCTTTATATTGCTACGTATTGCCTGCTCAAAATAGTTGTCGCAGTATGATTTCAAAATCGATTTTGGCCAATTTATATTTAAAATCGCAGTGTGTTAAAACAGACCATAAAATTTGTGATATCACCATGCAAAATGACAAAAAAATGTTTTTGGGGGAGGAGGCAAGGGATGGGGACGCGGACCCCCTGGATGTGTTACGTGGACCCCTAGTTGGGAACCACTGCTCTAAGCCAAACCACAGTGCAAATGTGCTGGCTCCTGAGGAGGAGATCAAGCAGTTTTGCTTTCCCCCAGGCATCATAGGTTAGTGCAGTAGCTTAGCATGTATCCAAAACAAGGATTTTGGTAAAGGTTTCTGCATAATTCCAATCTGTAGCCAAGATTTGTCCTATCGTTATAGGTTGTCATTAAAGAGGAGGTAATGTAACCATGTTTCTGGATTCAGATGACATACCAAGCCAAACTTTAGCTTAGCTGCTGTCCCACATTGGCCTAAAATACCCAAAGAAGGCAAAGCAGGTGTGAACTCCTAGCTGTGAACCAGCATGTTTGCAAAGTCCCAGTATGTCATACTCTGGCTCGCTGTGAGATGTGAACCAGACCAGTGTTAAATACCACTCTCCTTGTATGTCTGCTGAACTGTACATTAAACCAGAGGAGAATGGCAAAGTTAATATACATTTTCTGCCTTGCTTAGATAGGATGTGTGTGTTGCTTGTGTTTTCTAACCAAAATCTTCACATCTTCTCACAGTTTATAAATCTCCAGAGTATGAATCCCTTGGATTTGACTTGACAGTTGAACGGCTAGTATCAATTGGATACCCTCAAGAGCTGCTTAGTTTTGTCTATGATCCTACATTCCCTACCAGGTAAATAATTGTAAGCTACAAAAATATGTGTATGCCACTTACTGGTTTGTTTGTTTTTAAAGTGTTCTATTTTTAGCATGCTGTTGTTCAGTAATACATAAGCAGATTTAATTGCACGAGGTTCTTGCTAGTTGAAGTGGATTTGTCAGCAGAAAATTTGTCTTAAGAAACCCAGTGGTAAATGTATTGGAAGTGAAATGCATACCAGGAAAACCTGAACATAGTTAGAAACTGGGGGAAACAACCCCTAATTTATGCAAACATGAATTTCAATTAAATTCTGGGCTGCTTAAAAAGTCCTGCATTAAACTATTTGAGGCAGAATATTTGTAGATACGTATAAAATATGTAAGGCTTGGCAGATTTTCTTTAGGCAGTTCCTTATATGTACTAAGATTTTCCTGTGTTTCTGCCCACAAGGCAGCACCTCTTCACATTTATGTTAGAGGTAGCTCCTAAGTTCCCCTTGAGTTTTGGGAGAAGCACACTTGCCAACCCTGGGATTCTTTTTAAAAGAGAGCCCACAGAAGTTGTGATGCATGTGTGGAGCTTTCCACACTTCTGTCTTGCATTCTGGCCAGTTTTTGCAACAGAAGCATTGTTGAAACATGCCAGTGAGTTTAGCAAAAGCTGAAAGGAATGCAAAACTATTTATGGAATGATTTAGGGGGAAAGTCAACAAATTTTGGCACCTTTAGTAGACCCAATTCACATGTTTACTTTTGAGAAGGCCACTTTTAGTGATCTTTGCAAGGCTTTTCCCGGAAAAGTTAAGCAACAGAGAAATTCACAGTTCATTCTGTAACAGCACAAAATTAGCATGTGAATTGAGCTTTAGTAAGTGGGCCATTAAGGGGCAAAATAGCAAGCCCATTATGCTGATACATATACAAAATTTGTTGTATATTTTTGTTTTATCCAGTCATTGCAAATGCTTTTGAAAATTATTAGTGGTACAGTAGAATGTGGGCAAGGGTTGGGGGAAAAGTGACCTAGGCTCATTGTGAAGCACTGGCACTACCTTGTCACCACCTTGGACAGCTTAGGCTATCTTCACTGATGAGCATGGTTAGAGCTGTGTATGTTTGCCCTTCCAAAACAGGCTAATAAATCTTGGTACAGGCAAGCAGAGTCACTTTGAAGCTTGTTCTAAATCTACTTGTAAGGGCATTTGCTGACTTTAGAACAAAAATATTAGCACAACATTTTATTTAACTACTTACACAGGAAAGTGCATGGAATGAGTGGGCTGACAGAGGAGGGATAGATTGTGCTATCCCTTTCCTGCCATCTTGACCTGCTTCCATGCTGCTTCCTTCCTCCCTGGCCAGCATTGAAATCAAGTAATCTGGCAGGGAGTGAGAACAAGTTATCTATCACTTCTCTGTTGGTTCATTGTGCTTCTGTGCTGGATGTGCAGAAGGCGAAACTGCTTGCATAGAAACAGTATGTGCTGGACGTGATAGGAGAGCGCAATTCATTCTTTCACTATCAGGCTGCTCTGCATCTGGAATGGATGCACAGCAGAAAAAAAAAACCCTTCTGCATGTTCAGCACAGAAATCAGGTATGCTGGAAGTCTTTAGTCCACTGTGCCGGACATGCAGGAGCATTTTCCTGCACTCTCAACATAGAAACTAATCAGGTTAGCAGAGTAGCCAGGGATCATTCCATTTCTCAACCACCAGCCTGCTGTATTTCTTGCCAGCAACAGTTTTTACTGATAAGAAATGCCGGTGAAAGGGAAACCAGCCCCTCTTAGGAATAAAAACTTTTATAAGCTAGTAACTTTTGGAAATTGATGAACAAGGTTGTTTTAGCATTTGAGGTTACTTGGTATGGCTGTTGCTTCCTTGCTGTCTCACATTCAGGGCCAAACTACACATTGCCGCAGACATGGGCCAACCGCCAAAAACTGTCTCCCTGAATCATGTTCTCACCTCTCTCCTCTGAATGTGCAGTTTCACTTACCTGAAAGTGAAACTAACAATGCCATGCATTTCCTCTCTGCTGTGCCAAGCAGCAGCTAGTGATGTGGAGTGGGGGCAGAGAAGCACACCATGTGACAATGTCACATTGTGGGTAAGTGGAAAAAAACTATAAAGAAATGGGAGAGAGGGAAAATGTGACATGGAAAGCTCTTTCTGAAGAGGTACCCACTGTGCAAACTTGGTAGACGGACAACTTTCCTCAAGGGAAAAGAGAAGTGGTGACTGAAAGTCTTAACTGCCACTTACTCACTGGCAAGAGGATTGCTTGGAGCCAAACTAAATAATCCCTATGTGAAAAGGGTGGTGATGTCTTAAGGTGTTAGAGGCATGAGTGATGAACTCTTCCTCCATTTGCCATTTGTGTTCCAGCAGTCCTTCTCCCCAAACTCTTTTCATATAGCTTAGCTGAGAAGTTCTACATTCCTCATCTCCTACATTCCACACCTCCTTTCCATGCAGATAGGACATTCACACACAGAGAACTGCCTTGGTTATGTTTAGTTTTTCCTGTTTACTGTAGCGAAAGCACATCTGGTCTCAACTAACCTTTTATAAAGTCCAAAAGGTTTTAGTCCTTTAAAGGAATAGTAATAAATATATAACACTTGTATTATACAGTTCACAGTGAGTTCACAGTGCCTCACACACATTCTCTGAGTAGTCTTCCAACAAGCAGGTAGGGTGGACAATCTGATGTTGAGGTGGTACTTACGTTTTAAACAAGGCAAGTCTGATTTGACAGAATTTTTTGTCCAATGAGACTTCTGCCAGCTCCAGTTATGTAGTTACTCTTCTTGGTCAGTTGGGTAGGTGGGAGAACTAAGGTTTTTATTTTATTTTTAAGCTATGCACCTGTGCCTGCTGATTGTGTAATTCAGCTTTTTTGTTAAGATAAATGAGCTAATGATAAGAAAAGAGATCAATTGTACATTTGAACTGGGCAATGCAGACTATTTTTTCCTCTGCAGCTAAACAAAAGTTCAATGGGACTCTGTCAGCAAAGTGTCCTCCTTAGGGTCAGATTCTAGTTTGGACAGAACATGATAGAACTGGCTCAGGTATGCCATTCCAATAGACTATCTTTCAAAGTCTTGCTGTCCACTGCTTGGTACACCATGCTTATATCGATCAATGCACTTCTTTATTAATAGAGGCCTGGTATTTGATTCCCTTTATGGAAATTTGCTGAAAGTCGATGCCTATGGGAACATCCTAGTGTGTGCACATGGCTTTAACTTCATGAGAGGGTAAGTACTGTGAATATAGGCAGTTCACATAAGGAAGGCTGCAATCTGTATGTACAACAGGGGGTGGTATGTTCCACTGAACTTGGTAGAAACTCTGAATTCATATATAGAATTGGGGCTTTCAGGGATCACCTACGCTGTAACATTTCCAAATCCTTATGCAGGCCAGTTTTTCTTACTTTGGAGTCTTATAAATTCTAATAACTTCAGAAACTTGGTTAACCTTTGGAAACTAACTTAAGTGAATATGGAAAAAATGCACACAAACCTGGTTCAGATGTAACAATCTCACCTCAGTGCATCAGTTTATTGGGCCAAGAACAAGCCTTGTGTCCACATATTTTCTTCTTGGCCCTTGAATGCACAACTTTGTTAAACTAATTTCTTGTGATATCCAAACGGGACACCTATGGTTTAAGTGTTGTTTCCAAATCATAATATGACCTGGGACTAGACCATTTTGAGCCCGGCTATAGGAACATAGGAATCTATTATACTGTGGTCTATCTTGACTGGCAGTTGCTCTCCAGAATTTCAGGCAGAAGTTTTTCTCAGCACTACCTGAAAATGCTGGGGATTGAACCTGAGATTTTTTGCATGCAAACACATGCTCTACCACTGAGATGATGATGATGATTCTACCTTTTATCAAAAGATCTAAGGGCGGTGTACAACATTAGAAACACATTACAGAACATCAGTGATAAAAACAGAATAAAAAGCACAATCAGGGAGCCACCACAGAAGAGACCCGTTCTCTTGTTGCCACCCTCTGAACCTTTCTGGGAGGGCGGACATAGAGAAGGGCCTCAGATGACAAGTGCAGGGTCCAGGCTGGTTTGTATGGGGATAGGCAGTCCTTAAGGTATTGAGGTCCTGAGCTGTGTAAGGCTTTATAGGTCAACAGGATCCATTTCAGTATTCTGTCTTTGGCTGTATGATGACATGAAATCTTACTAAACATTGAAACATTGCTGCTGCTACTTCTTTTTAAGCAGAATATTATGTGTGAATTGTACAGAGTTGTTGATGGTTAGTTGCATGCTGTCCAAATGAAACACAATTCTTGTTTTGTTTTGATCACCCCAGTTCTTGAATTCTTCTGCGATCAGTTGAGCAAGCAAGAGCTGGAGGGAATAGGCTCCTCTCTATGAATGAAGTTGTATTAAGTATCACATTTTGCTGTAGTAGAAAGGAAGCCATATTATATTTATTCCAGTGTTCTCATTAAAACCTTTCCTTGAATCCCAACATTTTAGGAGATCTTTCTCATTGGTCTTATTGACCCAGTAGGAGTTAACATAGCTGTTTAGAGAAACTATTATGATTAGACATCATTAATAGGCATATTCCCTTGTCCCTTACCTTTTTCAGGCCAGATATCCGAGAGCAGTACCCTAATAAATTCATCCAGAGAGATGACACTGACAGGTTTTACATTTTAAACACACTGTTCAACCTACCAGGTGAGACCTTAAACTCTAATGGGGATGGTGGGGATTGTGTCATGATAATCCGTAGGTATATTACTGTTAATTTCAAATGACAAATTAGGAATGTCATTTTGGTTTAGATTAATTACATGAGTGTCTCTTTATCCAGTTCTTCATTTAATGTATATTCTTTGCTTCTTTGCAGAGACTTACCTGTTGGCTTGTCTGGTTGATTTTTTTACGAACTGTGCTAGGTATTCAAGGTGAGCATGTGTCTCATGTGTTATATGAAATCCAACATGTGACGCTATAGCCATCATTGTCTCTCACTGCAAGTGTGCAAGGACAAATTCAAATCATCTTATCTGTAGCTTGATGACAACAGCAACCACAAGTACTTTAGCGATTGTTTATGTTGGTAAAGTTTGTGATTTAAACCCTGGCAGGGCTCATAGGGTCTATCATACACAGGTGAATATGACCATGCAGCACAAGTGTGGGCTACCTTTTCAGGGATTAGAAGTTGGGGTGATGGATACCGCCAAAGCCAGCCACTCCTGGAGCTACTCCTTTTCTCTGTTCATTTGTACATCCATTCACATGTCCCTCTCCCACACCCAGCTCCCTTCTTCTGAATCTTCAGCCCCTCAACTTCATCTAGCCATCATCCATGTATGTTCATTCTCTCTTGCATGCAGAAACATGTACCAACCTAGATTCAGACATACACACATCCTGCCTATACCTTTATCTCATCCCATTCCCTGCCTGGTTTGGCCTCTGAGAACAGATGCCATGCTGATTAGACAGGAAATGAGATGATATATGTATTCATGAATTGGCACAAAACATACAAGCAAGAATCCACCTAACATTAGTGGGATTAAGGTTTGGTTGCTTTCAATACTATCAATGTAGCTATCAATACTGTTAGTGTTTCCAGTTGTACAGTGATTCCCAGGCCTTATGCACCCTCCTTACTAGCTGTTAACCTACTTTTACAACAATTCCGTGCTTTTTTCCTTTTTCTCACAGCTGTGAAACAGGGTTTAAAGATGGAGACCTCTTCATGTCCTTCAGAAGTATGTTCCAAGATGTGAGAGATGCTGTGGATTGGGTTCACTATAAGGTGACTTGCACTTTGGGATATTTTTTTAACTGTAGTCTGTTTAATTCTTAACATTTTGAATAAATTATAGTGTGAGTTGAACACTGTTGGTAGCCAGTGAATAAGTATTAAATGCCAGCTAGCATGCCCATCAATATGATTGGAAAGGGGGGATTGGTAAACAAGATTGATAATTCCTTCTATCACCACCATCCTGCTGCTTACTTTCACACACCCCCATTCCTCCCCTCCCCTCTTAATGAAACAGGCTGCTGCTGCAAGCCATCTTAAAAGCCATCACTGTTTCACTTTATTATATTTATGCTATTGTTTTCCCTTCCAAGGAGCAGTTTCATGTGTTTCATATGATAACTCATCCGCACATTGCACAGGAAGCACACCACCCCTTTGCTTCAGCAACTGAACTCTGTCACCATGTGTTTTCTGAACTATTCTGTTTTGCACTTTAAGTTTACTTCAGAATATACTTAATTACAGCGCTTCAATGGCATCTTGTCCCATGTGTTTGTTTCGCATATGGTGAATGAGCCACAGGGTTCTCCACCCCCAGGTTGAACCTATCCAATGCTAATCTCATGACACATGAAACTCCACAAATAACTTTCTGCCTCTAGTGTCAGTGGTGCATCTTTCTACAGTACGATGACAGCATGGAAGCTGATACTATAAGGCGAAACCGGAGTAAGATTGCTAGATCATTACTTCTGCTGTGTCATGTGGTTTCTCCTGTTGTTTCAGGGATCACTGAAGGAGAAGACAGTTGAGAATCTTGGGAAGTACGTAGTGAAAGATGTAAGTACGTCAAGCCTTTCCTTATTGAAAGTGGACCAGTCTTGGTTTATTTCATGCAGTCTTAAAATGATAAAAAAAAACAGAATGGAAAGTTCAAACTCCCTTGTTCACAATTTATTTTTTTTAAAAATAGGCATTAAGTGATGTTATTGTTGCTTCAGCAAATTTTGCCTTTTTTGATGAAAAATAATTTAGCACGTCCTCTTTATCTCCCTTTTGTTAATGGAATTCTAAGCACCCAAACTTCAAGCAGGGGCAGTTGGTTTCCCCACCCCCACAATATATGGAGTAGTAAGAGAGTGCATGTCACAATAGAAATGTGAATATTCCAAAGCATCTTCTGTGTCTTGATATCTTGAGGGGCATAAAGTTGAAATTGTGCATTTTGTATTTCTTTAGAGGGATTCCTTTGATTTTCACCTAGCATGGGATACTTTCTGTTTCCACATAATGCTCATGCTACGTACTCACAGCACATCAAAGTGGCATTTTGTTCTAAAATTAGTAAAGAGTCCTTGCTGCCTGCAGTCTCTCATTTTCAAATCATCAGGTTTCTGGTTACATATTATAGAACAGCTTTCAACATTTCAGTTTTTTAAAAGTATATTTTAATATTTGGCCAAATAGGACGTTAGTACAAATTATAAGACATGACTAAGATGCAGGATTTCAGTTCACAGCTGAGGCATCTAGGATTTTTGAAGACATTTTAATCAGGCTGAAATATTCATTTGGCATTGTTCAAACTGGCAGTATGTACAGATAGCCTGAGATATTTATAGACCCCCTGAAGGTATGGGCTTCAACTGAAAACTGTATTTTATGTAAATCTTTGCCATTTTAGGGGAAACTGCCTCTGCTTTTGAGCCGCATGAATGAGGTGGGAAAGGTGTTTCTTGCCACAAACAGTGATTATAAGTACACTGATGTAAGTACTCCTGTAACACAAGAATCTTCCTCCATCATTCATTCATTCATTCATTTAGTGTCTCATATATGTTAGGTGTCATATTTTGAACTTCTATCTTGGATTAGGGTGAGCAACCTCAGTCCTGGGAGCTAAATGCAGCTCTGTAGGCCTCTCTGTCCAGCCTTCTGGCCTTTCTCCAGGCCATGCCTCCTTCCCTAGATTATGCCTGCCCCCTTCCTCTGAACCCTCCTCAAGTGCTTTTGCCTGGCTGGAAGGTGCCCTTGAGCTGTGATGATGCCTCTTGCTTGTCTGGATGGATTCATATATGAGTGTTGAAATCTGTGTGACTGGAATGTGGCATGCATTACAACAGTAAGTTACATCCATTATTTTGCCCATTTTTACTTCCGGCCACACCCACCACTGATGTGAAGCCCTCAGAAGTTTCCAGATGAATGAATGTGGCACTCAGTCTGAAAAAGTCTTCCATCCCTGCCTCAAAGCAGAGCTGGGGAACCTTAGGCTCCTCAAGATGTTCTGGACTACTACAACTCACTGTTTCTTACCATTGGCCATGCTGGCTGGGGCTGATGTTCAACAACATCTACAGAGCCATAGGTTCTCAAAGCCAGCTGTAGAGAATTAGATAAGCTCAGTATAATGAAAGCATGAGCTGGAGGCACCTAAGATTCTCCTTGAATCTTGGTTGCTAATTTAATGATGCCTTGTACCTAGCAATGTGTCTGTAATTTAGTCTCCCAAGTTTTTGGGGGGTGAGGGAAGAAATATTTTTTAAAGACCTTCTGTTTATCATAAAATGCATTTTTTTTAGAAAGCCATGAACAACTATACTGGGAAATCCCCATGTTAATATGAATGCAGGACTCTCCTGTATTCTGTGACAATGAACTTTTGTTCTCCAATCCTATGAACATTTGCTTCAGAGTAAGATTCACTGAACTTGCTTCCAAATTAACTGTACATAAAACTGAGGTTCTTGCAGAGCTGCATATCTGTCAGAGCTGGAGGCATGCCTTTTATTGTCATGAAAATCCTAAAAATAACATCATAGGGTTCTGAAATGTTATTTTAATTCTCACAATGCCTGTTCTAGATTCATATATCTGAAGACTATTTGTATATTTAAATGTATTGTTTAAACATAATTAATAGAAATTAAGTCTTGCTTCCAATTTGCCTTTCAGAAAATTATGACTTACCTGTTTGATTTTCCACATGGACCAAAGGTGAGTGATGAAAAGAGTTGTTGCATTAATGATACCTCTGCCTTCCCCAACTTGGTGTTGACCAGATGTTTTTGACTACAACTCCCAACCAGGGTTGGATGAGAGCTGGATTCCAATAAACTGGATGGCACCAGTTTGGGGAACGCTGTGTTAGATGGTGTATATTATTCCTTCCTAAATAAATCAAGAATAGGAGTCAAGTCTTTGTTCATGGGGACTGAAGAAACCAGATAGTTATTTAATTTTCTATTTGTAAAATTCAACCTTTGGAGGCATGGTGTTAAAATGCCTTATTATTTTTATTGGAGAACAGGTGGAAATAATTAAAGTCAGCTTTGATATGCCTGATATGCAGCTTCTAGAGGTCACTAGTGATTAAAAAAAACACCACTGAATTTTCAAATCAAAAGCATTTACTTCCACTGGTGGTGTTTGCCTGTCTGCACTTGCTTGAGTAGAAGTTGCTTGCTCAGATACAAGGAATTGCCACTTAGCCACATATCCACTAATGCATTATAACAGTGCTGCTGAAATCCTTCCACGTATAATTAATAATTTTTCATAGCTACAAGAAAATGTACTTTTCAATTTTAAGACTTGGTTATGGTTTCATGTACTTACTATGTTTAGTAGAAATCAAAAATTTAATATAAATACACAGACTGTTCCCTTTTGTCCCTTTCTCAGTTGTGGCCTCTGCTTTGAAAGCCCTGGATGTTCTGCAGTAATTGATAAATGCCTGGATCTTTGTATTAATATTTGTAGTAGTGATATGATTAAACAGTATATAAATCCAGATAAAAATAAAATTTAAAATATCTGCTATTTTTTTCTTTCCTGCATTGTTAGGATTCTCAGGTATATTTACTGAATTGAAGTGTTGGGGAACTAAGATGTTTTGTATATGATGTCAGGCTACATATAGAATACAGTTATCAATCTCTCCTGCAGAACTAAAATAAGCCAGTTTCAGTGTGAACAATTAGAATTTGTACCTTTTAAAAAGATGTTCTTCTGCTTAATTTTTCTCTAGCCTGGCAATTCTCACCGGCCATGGCAATCATACTTTGACCTCATCCTTGTGGATGCGCGGAAACCTCTTTTCTTTGGAGAAGGCACAGTCTTGAGACAGGTGGATACGGTGAGTGATACATAGAATATATAGTTAGGCTTGACTGGAGGGAAACCTGGGACAGTTTATTTCAATAATTAGAACATTAGTGCTAAATTCATAAGCCCTCTACTTTGAAATTCACTGACTACTTGGAATATGTGTTTCTAGCTATTTTTGGGTTACCTGAATCACATAGAAAGGAAATAAGAGAAGGAGCTGTGTTCTTTAAATAAAAACACAGCATGTTTTTTGAGTGCATCATTAAGTATTTCAGCTAGATGTACTCAGTGGAATTAAATTAAGAACAGCATCATACTGAAAATATATGGAGCCTAATAATGCTGTGTTTCATTAGATCAATTTCACTGTAATTGCTGGTTATCTAAAAAATTCACTGTGGCTGCAACATAACCACCTGCTTTGTCATTCTGTGGGACTGGTCTTTATTGGGAATCTATTAGGGTTTTAGATGAATCTGTGCTATTGATAACTTGTTAGCCCCAACAAAATTCTTAGCTTAAGCCTGACCTATAGGCAGAATCAACTGGCTCATAAAAGGCAGCCAACACTTTTAACTGTAAAATTTGGAAGTATAGCTTTAAGCAGGCTTTTGTAGCATCTGTATGCAGGCCATGCAAAAGGGTTGTACGGAATATGCTTCTACCAGACTAACTTCACTGTTTTCACCTGGCACAGATACATTTGAGGCACGAAACAATTCCCAGTGTAAGAGTGTTTATGGCCTCTAGGAATAGGGGACCAGCTGCATTCCCCCATGTCACTGAATGCTGTTTGCCCCTATGTCATGCTGCTTTTAATAATTAAAGGGGCTGCCCAGGAAAAATATAGTGCATTTGGAGTATGCAAACACCAATTGTGCTTTTTCCTCTGAAGCATATATTGAACAGCCTTTCTACTGATTTATCAATCCATTGATCAATATTAAAACTGAAAATTGGGCTGGAGCGACCTACAGTTTCATTAAATGAATTTCTCTTTCTGTGCAGGTTACTGGCAAACTGAAGATTGGTACCTACACAGGCCCCTTGCAGCATGGTATTGTTTACTCTGGAGGTAAATTAGAAATGAGACTTGTTTAGTCATTTAGTCTTGTCCGACTCTTCGTGACCCCATGGACCAGAGCATGCCAGGCACTCCTGTCTTCCACTGCCTCCCGTAGTTTGGTCAAACTCATGCCGGTAGCTTCGAGAATACTGTCCAACCATCTCGTCCTCTGTCGTCCCCTACTCCTTGTGCCCTCCATCTTTCCCAACATCAGGGTCTTTTCCAGGGAGTCTTTCTCTTCTCATGAGATGGCCAAAATACTGGAGCCTCAGCTTCACGATCTGTCCTTCCAGTGAGCACTCAGGACTGATTTCCTTAAGAATGGAGAGGTTTGATCTTCTTACAGTCCATGGGACTCTCAAGAGTCTCCTCCAGCAGTATAATCCAAAAGCATCAATTCTTCGGCACTCAGCCTTCTTTATGGTCCAGCTCTCACTTCCATACATCACTACTGGGAAAACCATAGCTTTAACTATACGGACCTTTGTTGGCAAGGTGATGTCTCTGCTTTTTAGGATGCTGTCTAGGTTAGAAATGAGACTAGTGAATCTTTATCAGGAGCTGGGACGGAGATTTTCACTTTATTCTATTTTAACATGGGGTTTGAATAACTTTTGATTTCTCCAAAACTAAAGGCATGATGTTAAGAAAAACAGCAGGGAGTGAGGGAGAAGACTGAATATGATTTTAAAGCCCCCCCCAAATGTCTGAAGTTTAATTTGTCTTAAGTAGAGTGTCATATATATTATGCAGATGTAACTAGATTAGAATGTTTTAGGTGCAAAATAGATTTCAGATTGTATCAAAACTTACTGGAGCAAAGGAACAACAGTGGTTGTACCATTTTTTAAAAAATGCACTAGCAGTTACTCACATCTGTTTGTAAGTGGAACATAAGAGTCCCTTGTGAAGCAGAGTCTTTATATTAGTGACGATGGAAATTTAATTGTAGGTGGGACATTAGGTAAAGAGTCAGCAGAAGCCAAAAGTGTAATATAATCTAGTAGCTGCAAAAATGTACCCACCTATCCAAAGTTTGTAACCCCAAAGGTTAAGTCCCATGGTGGTAGATGGGTAGATAGTAGATCTTCCTCAAGTTTTAAGATCCCTCTTGGTATTTTCTAAAACTATATACTCAAATAATATATAGCTGTGTTGGTACTTTTGTGTATGTGTGTGTATTTGGGATGGCATCTAAAATGCACGTCTCACATGCTACCTGATTTGTGTATTTTAGCAGCTTATCCCTTTTTTAAAAAAGAAAGGTGATTTGATCATCACTTGTATTTTAAATAGATAGGTCTCAGACACTTGCAGCTCAAAAAAAATGTTCTGGCAGCACACAATATAGCAGGCTTTGACTGAATGGAAGACCACCTGTGAACCATATATTTGTATGCTGTAGTGTATTTATTTTATACTCTGATATGTCTGAGTGTGCAAAAGCTGCATTATTTGAAAAAGCCTTATATCTATCAAATTGGGAGGAGGTACATGATAATAATGGAAGTTTATGCACTGAACCCATGGTTTTTATGCTGAGAAACCTTTTCTGATTGGCCCTTCTGCTTTCTCCCTCCTCCTGTTAGGCTCCTCTGATACAATCTGTGACCTTCTGGGGGCCAAGGGTAAAGACATCTTATACATAGGTGATCACATTTTTGGAGATATCCTGAAGTCTAAAAAACGCCAGGGTTGGAGGACCTTCCTAGTGATTCCAGAACTGGCACAGGAGCTTCATGTGTGGACAGACAAAAGCTGTAAGTACTGACTCTGTAGTTTAATGGTTCCCAATTGATGGTATGCGGACCTCCCGGGGGGAGGGTCCACATAACCCACCCAATTTCCCCCAACCTCATGCCCTCCAGATGTTTTAGACTGCAACTTCTAGCAGTCTCAGCTAGCTTGGCCAATGTTCAGGGATGGTGGGAGTTGTAGCCCAGCATGTGGAGGATACTGTGTTGGGGGAGCCTGCCCTAGACATTGAGAGGGCATTTGAGACACTGCAAACATATTCAAAAGACTGTCTGCTGTGTTCCACTATAAGATTATAGATTCTGTTCTTTTTAGCCACATGGCTGCTCCCACCATTCACAAAGTTGAAATAAAGGGCTAGGTCTGAAACTTCTACACCATCTGAGTTGTCAGATGAGTTTTATCAAAGCATATATGGCAAAAAATGTAGGATTGTATTCTAAAGAGCTGTTTGACAGTGGAACAGACTCCCACAAGAGGTGGTGCACTCTCCTTGGAGGTTTTTAAGCAGAGATGGCCATCAATCATGTATGATCTAGTTGAGATTCTTGCATTGCGGGGTTTGGACCTGGGAGTCCCTTCCAACTCTATAATTCTATAAATCAACAAATAATAATGCAATTTGGAAAGCAGATAGAATCTTCAGTCTGTTTTCCCATATTGGTGAGAGATAAGTAATATTCTGCATAGTATTTGTTTCAGCTGATCCACTGCCATAATATCCTTTTACTTTGCCTTCCCTTTGCTGCTTAGGCCTTTTTGAAGAACTTCAGAGTTTAGACATCTTTCTCGCTGAGTTATACAAGTAAGTAATGGATTTTTCTCTTTAGAATATAACCCAATACTCCACCCACTAACTCATTAGAGGGAGTGCTTCCTTTTTAGTGGACAGCTGCACTCTGTCAAAGGGCTCCACATTAACTTAGAATTGGGGGTGGGGAAGAGGAGTATTGTTGTGCGTATCAGTTTTGCCTGATATAATCAGCTTTTCTCAATTAGTATTTGCTTTCCCAGATCCACCCTCACATTTATCTTCCATGTGCTCTGTTGATATTGTTTTCTTTCCTATTTCAAACAGGCATTTGGATAGCAGCAGTAATGAGCGTCCTGACATCAGTTCCATCCAAAGACGTATTAAGGTAACTAGTAAATAGAACACTGTGGTCTAAACCGCTGAGCCTCTTGGGCTTGCTGATCAGAAGGTCGGTGGTTTGAATCCCTGCAACAGAATGAGATCCCATTGCTCAGTCCCAGCTCCTGTCAACCTAGCAGTTCGAAAGCACGCAGTGCAAGTAGATAAATAGGTACCGTTCTGGCAGGAAGGTAAAAGGCATTTCCGTGCCCTGCTCTGGTTTCGGTGTTCCATTGTGCTAGAAGCAGCTTAGTCATGCTGGCCACATGACCCGGAAAAACTGTCTGCGACTGGACTTAACTGTCAGGGGTCATTTACCGTATTTTTTGCCCTATAGGACACACTTTTCCCCCTCCAAAAATGAAGGGGAAATGTGTGTGCATCCTATGGGGCGAATGCAGGCTCGCTCTCCAGGCTTCAGGAGAGCCCCACCGCCAGCCCCACAAGCTCGGGGGACAGCGGGAGGCGCAGCACGCCTTTCCTGCTGTCCCCCAACTTGGTTAGAAGGCTGGCGGGGGGCAGAAGCCTGCTCCTCCCCATCACCATCCCCGCAAATTCGGGGGACAGCGGGAGACGCAGCGCGCCTTTCCTGCTGTCCCCCGACTTGGTTAGAAGGCTGGCGGGGGGAGAAGCCTGCTCCTCCCCTCCTCCAGCCCCGCAGCTTCGGCATGGCTCTGGGTCCCATTCTGGGGGCTGGGGGAGGGGGAAGCCCCTCCCCCAGCCCTGCAAGCTCCCAGAGCGATTCCAAAGCTGCACGCAGCTTCGGCATCGCTCTGGGTCCTGTTCTGGGGGCTGGCGTCGGGGGAAGCCCGAGCTTCCCCCGCCCCAGCCCCGCGCCTGGGGAGGGGGGGGATAAATTTTTTCCCTTTATTTCACCCCCCAAAATCTAGGTGCGTCCTATGGGCCGGTGCGTCCTATAGGGCGAAAAATACGGTACCTTTACCTTTTTTAAAAAACAGAATGTTATTTTGCTCCCTTTTCCAGTGCAGCAATCTGTGCTAACTTCATTAGAGGGAGATTTTAGGGGACGGGGAGGTAAGGACCCGGACAGGCAGTGGACCAAAATAGGAACCTGAGAGAAGTTGGAAGAGAAAGATACAAGACAGGGAGCTGATAAAAGGAGGAGCTAATGAAGTGAGATGGTTGTTGGAAAACCTCCCTAGAGCCTAATGGCCGAGTAAATCTGTACTGATAATAAATGAGGGGGGTGTTGGATAGTTGAATTAATCAAATAGACTTTAGTCAGAGAAACATAAGATGATGAAACAGTAGGCAGAGGAAACACACTGAAGCTGCTTACATGGCAGATGCAGGTAGTAGTCTCCCAACTTATTTTTAAATGAAAAGCAGCTTTGGGGAGGTGCAGTCCTGAGCAGAGGAATTATATGGGTCATAGGGTTCATGCTGTTGGCTCAAACACAAAACCCACACCACCACTCATTCGCATACTCTCTTGCAGGTTTTTAAGGCATAAACCCCTGTGTGCCTGGAGCCCTCTTGTATTTTGTTTGCTTATCCTCTCCCCCTTTTTTTGTCAAATTCTATTCCCCCCCCCCCATCTGTCATGTTGCTAAGGAACACAAAAACTTATTCTATGGTGGAATGCTCCTGGAAGGCACTGTATATTGCTGGTGTTCTCACATTTGGGACTTCCAGTTTTTGCCTCTTTACAGTCAATGCCTCTGATTCAGAAACTTGTGCGTGCTCTAGTGTACACATGCAATAGTTTTTAAGTATGTAAAACTACTCCTTCCCTGAAGTGACCAAATGTCTAATTTGCCTTCTGATTTTAGAAAGTGACTCATGACATGGACATGTGCTATGGAATGATGGGAAGCCTGTTTCGAAGCGGCTCCCGACAGACACTCTTTGCCAGCCAAGTGATGCGCTACGCAGACCTCTATGCAGCATCATTCATCAACCTCCTGTATTATCCCTTCAGTTACCTCTTCAGAGCTGCCCATGTGCTGGTGAGTTGAAATCCATGAAGCTGCAGATGAACAGTAACAACATTCAGAGAAGTACATGCACTATCCAAGTCTGAATAGAGCGAGGGACATTCTAATGTAGCTGGTAGCATTAGACTCAAAAACCTTTAAAATGGACGTGGCAGATGGCTACATTGGGAGACACTGGCTAGGGTTAAACAATTTTATAAATTTTCTGTGGGGTAACAGTATAATAAGTGGTAGAAGTCAGGCACTCACTGTACTAGCCTACGCATGTGCTGTGAAAAATGTGAATTCCATACTAGGGATCATTAGGAAAGGAGCTGAAAATAAAATTGCCACTGTCACAACATTATACAACTCTATGGTGCAATTGCAGTTGGGTACCATGTACAGTTGTGGTTGCTTCACCTTGAAAAGAATGTTGTAGAGTTGTTAAAAGTTACCAGAAAAAGTCAACCAGAATGATCAAAGAGAGAGAGCAAGTCCTAAGAGGAAAGGTTGCAGTATTTGGGCCTTTTTAGTTTCGAGAAAAGGAGAGTAAGAGGTGCCATGGTAGAAGCTTATAAAATTATGCATAGCAAGGAGAAAGTGGGGAAACATACCCCTCTCTTGTAATTCAGGGATATCCAATGGAGCTGAATGTGCTAAGATTCCTTTGTCTGTCCTGAAAATACTTTTTCACAAAATGCATAGTTAAACTGTAGCATTTGCTCCCACAATCTCACAGTGGTAGCTACCAACTTGGATGGTTTTAAGAGAGGATTGACAAATTTGTGGAGGATAAGGCAGGCCAATATATTTCTAAGTGCCTGTCGTGGGAAATTGCAGGAGGGCAGCGTGCTGTTGTGGGCTTCCCATGGGCATCTAGTTGGCTACTGTGAGAACAGGATGGCTGGACTAGATGGGCCACTGGCCTAACTGAGCCAGCTCTTCTCATGTGACAATGCTAATCTTCTCTGAACAATGGTATGTATCTCTCCATGCAGATGCCACACGAGTCAACAGTAGAGCACGCTCATGTGGATATCATTGAGACAGAGTCACCTATGGCCACCCGAAACCGCACATCAGTGGACTTCAAAGATTCTGACAAACGACACCAGCTGACCCGTTCTGTGAGTGAGATTAAACCACCCAACCTCTTCCCTCAAACTCCCCAAGAAATCACACATTGCCATGATGAGGATGATGATGAAGAAGAAGAGGAGGAGGAGGAAGAGGAAGAAGAATAGAAATGAAATCTGAACACAACCTGCCAAAGTGTGGCTATAGCAGTGATTAGCAGGAACAGAATCCCACTAGTCCTGGGGTATGGGGTGGGGATGACAACAAAATTAACACTAATCAGAAACCCTTTATTCTTTACAGACTTATTCCAACTGTAAAGGATTTTGCACTGAGTGAGGGTAGGACCACATACAGATGCCTAACTGCGTTGCTTGCTCTACCTATAGAACATGGGAAGGAAGAGCTGCTTGTGGGTCCTTTGCTCCTCTTTCTTGTGCATTTCTAAACTGCCTCCAAGACATGGTTTGGAATTGGTGCAGTGAGCCTGCCATGGGTCCTGCAGCAATCACAGTAGCCCAATACCAGTTCCTCACAGCTGATACCCTTTGACCCTTTTGGGGGAAAGATGTATCCTAATATATAATACTGTATGCATGGAAATGGTGGCAATTCCAGGGTCAAATTGAACCCCATCAAGCACAAGTTTTGTTTTTGAAATGGTTTAATCCTCTAATCTCCTTCTAGTGCAGTTCTGCTTCTGCTCTTTCTGTTTGGGGCTGGTTCAAGAAAGACTATCATGCCACAAATTCTTGATCTGGCTGATAGCTAGTTCTTCTCCTGCTGAGATCCCAAAGCTTTTATCATCCCTAGTCTTGGCATGTGGTGCATGTATTATACGACCTTCAAATGGGTCCTTATGCCGTGTGCTTGTTCTACACTCTGAAATTATCTCTGCTAGTAAGAGATAATGTCATGCTGTATTTTGATTAGGTCTCAGTTAAAGATTAATACTGTATTTCTGTCTAACCCACAGTGATCAAGAGCTATACAGTTTGTGAAGAGAAAAGGTTTGTGTCACCTTTCCTAGCCTCTTCCTGTGGCTAACAATTTAGGCTCAAATTAGGAACAACAACCTGTAAGATGCAATGTTTCAGCTGGCAGCCGTTCTATTCTCTGATACAGAGTCATAGGAGATGGGGTATGTGTATATGCACAGGCCTAGAGCCTTCATGCAGAGGAAGAAGCCCCCTTCAGCAAAACATCCTTATTGCTGCCACTCTGTGCTACTGCCATTCCTGGAATGAAAATGGTTGAAGGGCTGATCCATATTGTTTGTAAATGGTTCTGAGGGCCTGGCATAGCATTCTGGCTGTAAGTGCAGGCTGTTAAGTTAAAGCACATTTTTCTCTTATTCATACAAGCAGGCAGTAAAATGTTTCCCAAGGTATAGAGTTCCTTACTTCTGTGCCATTGAAGTTTGAAAGACTGAATAGAGGCCCTATTTTGAAGTATTAGAAGTTTTATTTTGAATCACTTGATTGTAATTAGTTCTATTCCATTATTAAAATACGGTGAACTGTAAATCAGCAGGAGAAGCTGGTGCTCCTGTGATGGACCTGCAAACTAAATAAATCATGAGGTTTCATAATAAGCTGTTTTAATGTCTGTCTAACACTGACGAATCTACTTCTCCTAACCCTCCCTTCATACTGCTTGCCTAACACTTATTATAGCAACTAGAAAAGCCTGTATACAGCGTGGAATACAATGTGCTTTATAATCTTCTCCCAACAATGATGGCTGGGAGGCAGACAGCAGCCTGACAGCATAGAATCTAGATATATGTATTAAATGTAGATATACTAGAGTAAGGTGATGCCATCAGAGTTGTATGGATAAGGTCCCCTGCCCAGAAAACGGGAGCAGAATTGGAGAGCATTAGTTAACTTGACAGTGGTCTAGCTGGTAACTCTATTAGTGATCTGGTGTTGAGCTGGATACATACTGGTAAGGAACAGCAAGAGCGAAATAGTGCTCTTCTCTTAATCAATACTGGAAGATATCCTGGCTCTAGGCAAGAGATCAGTGTTCTCCGATGTCTACAAGTTCAGCCTTACAAATTCCACCCCCACAGCAGCCAGCCACAAGAACAAACATATGGCCTTTTCATAAATGAGTAAAAGGCCTCCCTACCTGAAACCAGCTTGGCCTTGGCTTTCCCAGCTAAGAAATAGGAAGGCTTTTTTCCTGCTTTTATCCTTCTGCTGAAGCTAGTGAAAATGGACAGAAAAATGAGCACTGACAAGTGAGAGATAAGTGAGGAAAAGAACTGGAAAGTCAAGAAGCAAAATTAGACCATGAGAAGAGGCATTTGCATACTACATCAGAACAATACCCTAGTTCTTACATTTGTATCAGCAGAATTTTATTGTGTCAATCTTAAATTTCTAGCAGCACTTTTAGGGGAAATTTGGAAACAATCTGTAAAAGGGTTGCTGCTTTTCACAGAATTGGAGGAGACCCTGAGGGTCATTTAGTCCAACCCCATGAAGTGCAGAAATCTCAACAAGATCATATAAGAAAGATTGCCCTCCAACCTCTGCTTAAAACCCTGCAAGGAAGCTGAGTCCACCACCTCTTGTAGGAGTCTGTTCCACTGCTGAACAGCTGGTACTGTCAAAGTTCTTCCAGATGTTTAGTCAGAATCTCCTTTCTTGTAACTTAAATCCATTAGTCAAAGTCCTAGCCTCCAGAGCAGGAGGAAAAAACAAGCTTTCTCCATGTTTTAGCCCTTGAGATACTTGAAGACTGCTATCTCCTCTTAGTCTCCTCTTTACCAGGCTAAACATACCTAACTCCTTCAACTGCTCCTCATAAGGCTTTGTTTCCAGACCCTTGATCATCTAAGTTGCCCTCTGCACACAATCCAACTTATCAACATCCTTCATAAACTGTGGTGCCCAGAACTGGACACAGTACTCCACGTGTGGTCTGACCAAGGCAGAATACAGTAATACTATTACTTCCCTTGATCTGAACACTATAGTTCTGTTGATGCAGCCTAGAATAGCATTAGCCATTTTTGCTCCTGCATCACAGTGTTGACTCATGTTAAGCTTGTGGTCCTCTCAGACCCATAGATCCTTTTCACATGTACAGTGGTACCTCGGGTTACATATGCTTCAGGTTACATACGCTTCAGGTTACAGACTCTGCTAACCCAGAAATAGTGCTTCAGGTTAAGAACTTTGCTTCAGGATGAGAACAAAAATCGTGCAGCGGCAGCGCAGCGGCAGCAGGAGGCCCCATTAACTAAAGTGGTGCTTCAGGTTAAGAATAGTTTCAGGTTAAATACGGACATCCGGAACGAATTAAGTACTTAACCCGAGGTACCACTGTACTACCAGCAATCCAGGTGGTTGTGAGGATAAAAGGAGGAGATTATGTATGTATACCACTTCAATCTCCTTAGACGAGGAAGACAGAATACAAGTGTATTTTCAGGCTCTTGCAGAGGTGCCAAGCAAAGTGCCACACTTTCCCAAACACCACAAGAAAATTGAACTCATTTATGACTGTGCAGAAGGAGCACTTGGAACATCGCAAAGACTGTTGACTACATTTTACTTCTTAAGCATAACATTATTTATCTGGCCTCTTTGACCATCCTTCCTTTGCCTCATTTTTAAGTGATACTAACTGCCACTGCTGCCGCCTTTAACTTAAGTTTGTCAGCATACAATAATATTTGGGTCTGTGACATCATCTCCAGCTGAAACCCCTTCTGACTCCATTCTACCTCAAACATCTCCCTTCTTTGAGCTGTGCCGGAGGGCCAACACAGTGGCAATCCAAGTAAGCCTTTCGGGCAAAGTTGCCATCAGCATATTACCACCCTAGGCTCAAAAACATGCTCAAAGAGTCTATGTATAAGACTAGTTTTATACATCTTTTGGAAACTGTTTGGTTGACTGAATATCACCGACTGTTTACTAATTTCTTAATGTGCCTTCCCAAATCCTGCTGCTATACTGGCATTCAGCGTATTAGGACCAAACTGGTAAGGACCCTTTACCATATATTATGGAGAACATGCTTTTTCAAGTAGTGTACAGACTATGCTTTGCTATTCTTACAAACAAAGTAAACCGCTCTACCAGACAAGATTGTAAGCCTGAGAGCAGGGAGTATCTTATTACTAAATGCTATAAACAGCAGGAGTTGGCTTTTTTTGCATGAACAGTATGGCAAAAAATACTGTGGCCCATTGGTGGGGAAACTTTTTTAGTCCGATCCAAGAGGCACATTCCTTCATAGGCAGTCTTCTCAGACAATTTAACTTACATCCAATCATGAAGAAGTTAAGTTATGCTGCCTTCATATTTTCCCCTTCCCCCAACCCCATTGTATGATTCCGCTGTTATTTCTCAACTATCTCCCTGCATTCCCTTAGTCAGAGCACTCAGATTAGAAGAGTCAATAGATTGTTGTTTCGGCAAAGGGGGGAGACACCTGAGAGTTGCTCAAGAAATCAGTGAGTAAGCTACAACACTCACAAAGCAGGTTTTTGGTGTATGCAATTAGTAGTACGAATCTCAAAAGTTTACATCTTCCTTCCACAAATAAGCCTATTTTACAAATAGATGCCAGGCATGTTCTCCCATATACACTCCTCTACCCAAAAACAAACAAACAAAACCCATGTAAAATAAATAGAAACCATGCTAGTGTATATTTTGGATATGACACGTCAGGAACGAAACACTTGCACTGGTTATTCAAAGTTATTCAAGAAAAAATTAGTGCATATCCATCAGAATTCCTGCTCCCTACAACAGAAAAGTAAAATAGATAATCTACAAGACCATTGCTAACAATTAATAAAGTCAAACCAAACATAAAGAACACATCCTTTCAGGGCTCCTTTACTCAAAACTGCTAATTAAAAAAATAATGTCACCAACGCACACCCCCTTGTAAATAAAAGAAAGATGAAGTATGCAGTGGGGGGACCACTTAAACATGAAAGTTAAACAAGAAAAAGCATTTATCTAAAGGAAATAAACCGTTTCCCAATAAAATCACAAAAATATGCAAATTAATGAGGTTCAAAATAAATAGAAGAAACTGGAAATCTGCAACACCACTAAGTATTTATATACTCCAACAGGATATCAATTGGCTTATGAAATGTGTACATTTCATTTGTGCTTTTTCAGGGTTTATACAAACAGACAGTGTGGAATACTGTTGGCAGAATACTACAACTTTGGAAGAAATATGATACAATTTGACAAAGATCCCAGAAGACAAATCTATAGAAGCTTTGGAATGCAGCAATATATGGAGACAGATTGTAAGGCCTTAAAAAGGCATAGGATAAGTACTGGGAAAATTGTGCAGCATACAAATATTTACTGTAAAGGAAAGCTTGGCTTGAGACAAGATTCCAGGGTTCAGCTAATTCCCTTGGGCTGGTCTGACAGCAGAACAGAACTCTGTAGCCTTCCAGATAGAATATATTTTGTTCACTATTGGAGCTCTTCCGCACACTAAGCTTAAGCAGTATTTTATTGCTCTAAGAAAGTTTCAAGCCTCCAAACATCCTTCAACAGTTTTTGTAAACCTAAGTGTGTCACAGTTTATATCTTGATTTGATGGATTGCAGGTGTATCGTCCTGTCCAAGTCAGCGAGTTACAGTGAGCAGTAAGTTCTTTAGATAGAAATATTGGATGGTATTCAAAGTAGTACTAAGGAGATTGCTTCATCAATGCAAGCATTTCTGCTTGCCTGGTGATCTCCCCCCAACCACTATTTTGTTGAATCTGGTCCAATACCACCACTTATTAACTTGTCCAGGCATTTAAAACAAGTGACAGTAGACTTCACCTAACTATGCACACCAGATAAACCAAATTTGCTGAGAGTCCCTTGCAAAACTATAGTCTCTCAGACTGTCATAACACCCTACCCTCTCACTATGAGATGTACCAAAGGAGAGAAAATGGCCAAGATTTCAGTAACAAGCTACTACTCACAGTGACACCACATCTGAGAGCATCAGTACAATCCTGTATGCAGGAGCAAAGAAACAAGAGAAAGGCGGCAAAAACTCAAGAGACAGCTGCCACCACTTCCCAGTTCATCCCAACATTTACACAAGAATGACCCGGATTCCTGCATTCCTTATATCGTTATCTTCAGGGCTTGAGGCTTTTTGCGTAAACCTAGTTCTGTAAAAATGTACTCTAGAAGATTATCTGTGCTTCAAGCACTTTGCTGAAATGCTGGTGTTAGCAGCACTGTCAAAGCAGCTACACAGGCACTTCTGCAGAAAGAATTTCAGCCTCCAGCATTGTGACAAGGTAAAGAGGACAATCACTTGAGGCATAGGTGGAAAAGGGTTAGAGGAAGACTATGTGGATGTAGAATAGCCTTGTGTACAAGCAAAATGAAATACACTTCTGGGGGACCCATTTCTTTGCAGGACAATGCCATTGCTAACTTGATTCATGCATGCATTTTAAGAAGCAACTGACTCACAAAAGTACTGGCAGAAATTACAGTTGGTTAGGAGCCCAATTCAATGGCATATAATCAAGTCCATAGAAAGAAAAAAACAAACAAGTCTGCAAATCACCAGGGATAGGGAACATGTGGCCTTCAAGATGTTGTTAAATGTTCATCAGCCCCGGTCACCATTGTAAATGATGGGAGTCTAACAACACCTGAATCCCATTGGTGTTGCAGACTATCCATGTGGCATAATAAAAGACCTCAGTTGGAATAAGCCCAGGAGTGGGGAGAAGCTATATGAGGCTCATCATGTGCACATTCCAGGAGAAGGTAAGACGAGAACCACAGTAGAAAAATGATAGGAGAAGGGGATGCAGTTCCGTGTGCCAGAATAAACAAACACCTATTTACCAGTTACTAAAGTTGTCCAAGTAGGATGTGGTGTTTTGAAGAACCCAGAAAGTGCTTTGTGCTTTATCCCAAAGAGCAGGCATTCCTGAAAGCAGAGCATCAAGCAAATTGTTTTTTAATCTATAAATTGGATTTCACCAGAATAATTAAGTGGCTTGTTCATTTAGCTGGTCAAAATTAATTCAGACCTTTGCCCCAAAGAGAAAAACTTGTTTTCAAAGAATTTGAAGCTCATTTTATCACAGCAGACCAAGGCACAGAGCAAACTATTTCACAGTGTTGTTAGTATCCTGCCAACTGGACATCAGAGCTAACAGAATAAAGCAATTATTATAGTCAAGTGCAACCACTCAGACTAGCTACTGTTCCTGTGCTCTTCAGTTCAATCAAGCCATGCCTGACACCAGAGAACTCTTCAGATAAAAAACAATCAAATCTCCTTCATATGTTGACTGAGTATGTGAGGGAAATGCGATCATGTCCTCAAATCTTGATGTGCCGGCTAGCTACGCCCCACTGGCACCCACATACAAGCATTAGACGGAAAGGATTCTAGACATCTATAGTTTTAGGTGTATAATTCTCTTCTGAACAAATGTTCCAGGGGATAAATCAAAATACCCAGTCATGAGGAAGACTGCATATATATGGACAGCTTTCAGATTAATGCTGTATACATGACCATTGCAGGGTGTGGCCATTAAGTGAATTGGAATTAGGTTTATTTTGTCTGCACAACCCTCTGGTAACTAGCATATGGCATAACAATGCTAAATGCCCATGGAGTATTATCTGCAAGTCACCACCTCTCTGTCTTATTTCACACAAGAGCCACTGTGTGACAACTACTTGAAATTACATGGCATGTTGTTTCAAACCCTCCATGTGGTGGGTTCTTCATGTTCAGTGGTGTACTATGTAGTTAATTATAACCTACAGCAGTGTTTTATAGCAGCATGCAGACAAACCATGTGGTCAGTGCACAAATGCAGCTCACCACATGGCAGGCACAAGTTTAGAGCATTCTCCATGCAGGTGAGGTGGCACCCAATCGTACCTCGGCACATTCTCCAATGTAATGACAGCAAAAGCAGAACACTTAATGCTCAGAGATCACATGGAGCCAACGTTACTAAAGTAGAGCAAAACCGTTGTCTAGGTGACATTCGGGCAGACCCAATGACAATACATTTGTTTCCCTGGATTCCCCAATAAAGGTTCTGTCAGCTTGCAATAGCCAAGTCCTGACTGAATGATGTAGTCAAGATCTTTATTGCATGGAAGTGAAGAGCTCATCAGGTACACTATCACACATTTCCTGCCAATTAAAATATCAAGAGCTCCCTCTAGTGTTAGGCTGTGGCAAAGATTGGTGAGGGCATGGGAGAGGATGGGAAACAGGTAAACTCTTGCCACTTTCTCCATTCACCTGAAAGGGTCAAATAACTATATTTTTATCTGGATGCAATTCATAGATACCTAGGCATGAAGGTGCATTTAAAAAGAAAACTAGATAGGAAAAACAGAAAACATTAATGAATAATGTCAAACCCATTAAGAACCACTAACCACGTTGCACGTTTGCAACTACTGTGAGCCATTACTTACCAGGAATTAACAGCTTCTCAGTGCATGGTCCTGAATCACTCGCATTTGTCTCCAACCTCCCTGGTGCTGGGAGCAACAAGCCATGAGCCTTGATTTATTGTGACGTGCAAATCTTGGCTTACTTTCATGGTTTATTTGCTTGGGAGAAACCAAACCTCAAGTGCTAGTTCACATGTCCAAGGCTTCTGGTTATTGCTCCTGAGTAGGGTGCAGCAAAATGGGAGCGATTCAGCAGCAATCACCAGCACATTGCTTGTTCTTGGTGGGGCATAAAACATGGCTTCCTATGACATGTAAAGGAGCCCGTTCGTGCAAAGACACGTTTTGCATACTCAGGGTACCCAGCACTTCAGTTCTGCACTACCAGCTCCTTCCCCAAATCATGACCTGTGCCACTTGGGACACTTCTCCAATAATCCTCAGGATTACCTTTGGGACTTGGGAAAACAAATCTGCGAAGTGAATTGTACATTTTACTACTTCCTTCTTCATTTGTTCAGCCTGAGCTCCAGCCATACTTTTTGATTAGTGCTTACCTATTCTAATGGGTCTGAGCTTCTTGGCTGGGCAGTTAAATAGCAGGTGGAAGAGTGATTCTCTGCAAATCCTAGGCCTTCTTGAGATAGCGAGCTTGGAAAAGGAGGATGAGGTGCTACCTCCCTTGCTCCATCAGTTTACATGCTGCCTGGGCCAATGACACCACTCTTGTATTTGAAGACATAACAGTTATCAAGAACAAATTCTCTCTTTAGTAAGGCTTGGCAACACACAGGTACAAGGTCTCCAATTCACAACAAAGAGTACAAAATTAATTCAGACATTTAAAATATTGTCAAAAACCTCACCTCAAAATAAATTTCGTGTAAAAGCTGCATCTAATTTCACATTAGAACATGAAAATTGAATGGCTGCTACCAGCTACTAAATTGCTGACTACACTTGACAAAAGAAACAGAAACAGTGAAAGCAGGGTTTTTTCCAAGGTCACTTTCTCAAGTAATGCAAATAACATATTCCCCCACAAATGTACCTGTAAAAGCCAGTGAAACAGTTGCTCTAAAATATAACATGAGAAGCACAATTTTTAAATAAGATAAATAATATTTCTAGAGCCAGGAAGAAGATCACTTGCCAGAAAGCAGAGGACAACTGCTATGTAGATGTTGACACCAAGGAACAGAGTTTCATAATGCTGTACAAAATAAGAGGCATATTTGAACTGAGAACAACTTCCTATACCTTGACATGGGCTGGTGACCTTTAATTCACATGGCCTGGCCCTCATTTTTTTCTGTACTACGAAATGTTCAGGGAGAGATGTTGCCCTCCGGCTTCTAGGCCGGGGTGTGGAACTTGGGGGTCTCCAGATGTTACTGGACTACAGCTCCTATTATCCCTGACCATTGAGCTTTCTGACTGGGGCTGATGGGGAAGTCTCCCCCACCCAAACAACATCTGGATGACCATAGGTTTTCTGCCCCTGGGCTAGGCTATGGAAGATTGCCTTTACCCTGCAAACTTTTTATGCTTTATTCTAGGCCTAATTAATAATAATTACATGAATTTAAGATAAGCACTGAACCCTTTTAAGAAAACTAGAAAACCCAATCATGATAAGCCAGGAAAGTTAATTTGGGTCAGCACCAATGTGGTTGTAGAATCCAACCATGTGTTATAGGGAATAAAACATTGTGCAAGACAAAGAGCTGCTGCTTGAAATGCAGAAACAAGAGCAACGGAGAATCCCATTCTTGATCAAGAACATTCTCCACTTCCCATCTGTTGAAGTGTGCTGGCTATAATGACATCATTTCATTCCAAAATTTGAGTTTACCTTTGTTCTACTGCTTTGGCAGGAAGCATAACACTTTGTGGGTTCTTTGTCTCAGAGGCCTGTCTGCCCTTCCTTAAAGCTGGCTGTAAAGAGCAGCATGAATAAAACAACTACTTTTAAATAGATGTACGCTAATAAATTAAAAGGTCCAAAGTTTCTAATTATACTGAATGTCATAACTGGAGATGCCTCTTCACTTAGGCTCTTCATAAAGAACTGATAGGTTTAATGGGGATTTGGGGTGGGGTAAACTAAATTTCCTCCTTACCATTCCTCTTTTTATGAGCAACCGTGAAACAAAGCAAGTATTCGCCTTACGCAGACTAAATTGCTTCCCCCAAAATAGAATGAAATATTTGTCTCCGTAAACTCATCCAGGGAGGTATCGGAGGGGTAAAGGGGGGGCATACCTCTCCCCAGAGCATTTCCATAAGGAGAACAGTGGGGAATTCACATTAAGCTCATCCCAGCATGCACAAAACTACTTCTGCGTCCAAGAATTGGAGGCATCCCTATCAACCCAGGATTCTGGCAAAGCAGAAATAATGGGGGTGGAGCAGAAGAAGGGGGGAAATCGAGTAACAGAGTCTGGAAGTTAGCTCAGAGACTGTTGTGCAGAACAGGCCCATTCAGCAACAAATTAATATTGTTTTCACAGTCATATTTCTTATAAGCAAGAAGAACAGACAAAAGGCAACCCAGAGTCACAATGATGTCAAGGCAGGTTGTTCAAATTCAGAGAACCCCTAAAGGAACAGTCCTCCCATAGTAAATATCAGTGTCCTGAGGTGTGGGAGCTGAGAATGTCCTGAAGGCATTCCTGGTCCATCTTCCTATGCCCAAAGAGCTGTCCCATAGAGCTTATTTAAAACAGTAGGTTAAAAAGGTGGCTCCTAAAAGGGAGAACCAGTAGAATAATAGGAAAGCTTTCAGATGTGCCTCTCCAATACCTTCACTGAAACAGACACCATCATGGCCACACATACCATCAAATATAGGTTGATTTTATATGGAAAAGCTTTTGCCAAACCTAAAACAGGACAGCATCCACAGTGAAGTGCATCTTGCAGGAAGAAAACTTTGGGACGATTTACTTTGGCTCTCAAGCATAGCAGCATAACAGCAGCATCACATAAAAGGTTTGAAGTCACTGGTGGACTAACATCTCTTACATTCTATCCTGCTTATATTATGTCATCTCAAAATAAGGAGCACATTGACTATGATGGCGCCCCATACTCTGAAAACATAAACAAGTTAAAGTACGTACTCAGCCCAGGGGAGGTGGTACGGATTGCTATCATTACTCCCCCATAATAAATAAAAACTCTATGTAATTCTCCGGGGGAAATTATTACCTCTGAAAAATCAATCATCTTCATATGGCACGCACATCATTTTCTGACATTTATGAACTCTAAAACATGGCCTTTGGGGGGGGTGATTTACATTCACAACCCCAAAATACCTCCTTCCTTAAAGGTTAGACAAGGGAGAATACCACCTTTTTCCCAGTCTCCCAATTGAGATATGCCAGAAATTCTTTAAGTTTCATTCATTCTTTGTTCTTTAGAAAACAAATACATTCTAGTACCAGTCTCTCATTTCAACAAGGGGAAAACAGAACAATATGGGGAAAATGGGAACACTGGAGCAAATTCAAGAACAATACAAAAGAACTTAACTGGGAAGGTCCTGCAACACTTAAAACTGCAAAATACTTCTTTTTTAAAAAAAAACCCCAAAAACCATGATCTCTCTTTTGAAAAAATAAAACGCAGCTTTAGGTTTAAACTGTTGCATACATTAGAAGGATCATCAATACAGCTGGAAAAATAAACGTGATTCTACTCCACTAGGAAGAATTTTGCCATTCACCCCAGAAGGGTGGCTCACCGTTCCCAAGTTTTGCTTCGGTGTTGGTTGCTTTTCCCTCTCTGCATCCACCTCTCACTCTGAGCTCCTTGTTCTTGCTTCTTTTTCTGCCCTCAGGATCAGCATAAAGTCTTTGGTCTCAGAGCATTGGATGCAGCACAGCTTAATAAGCACATACTAATGGTGTTTGCAGTCAGGTAGAAGGCAAGGGGAAGGAATGAGGCCTGGTCCTGATGAAGATAAGGGTTGGGATGGAGGGCAGAGGAAGAGGAAGATGCTATGTGTCAGCTCCTAGATGGCGCCTTCACTGTGCATACTGTGGTTGGACTTGTTGTGAGTTACACAGTTCTGTTCGTTCAGAAGATTTGCCGTCTCATCCGGCAAACCATCATGCAGTTCTGTAAGAGTCAGTTCTATTTTAGTGGTTTCACTGTCCGAGGACTGAGGTGTTTTATCCATCCGGGATGCCATTAGGGCATTTTGGTACTGCTGCCTTGAGATCTATGCCAAGCACATGAAAGATACAAAGTCCATAATTAAATTAATATTTGTTGATATGGAGAACAACTGTATCTACTGTAATGTTTTCATACATCTTAGCCCAACCCGACTTGTCCTTGTTACTTCAAAATCAAGGCATGCAGACCTGCAACATTTTCAGTGTAGCAACAGCAAATTGTTTCATGGTGCATAAGAACAGTAAAGATATTTTTGACAGGATGCATTTTCTAAAAGGCTCCAAGTAATCCAATCCCCCTAGTTCGTAGTGCTTACTATGCAGTTTTTAAGAGACTCGTCTTCATTTTAGCCAGGGTCTCCAGTAAGTGGCACAGAAGTATTCGGAAACCAGAAATGAGCAATAATTCTCATATAAACAGAGCTCAAAGTTAATCACTCTAAAATCATTGAGTTGCATCTGAATCTTTATACTATGTGACAAAATACCACCTGAAATGACCTCATTTACAAAAATGCCCATTTCACACATAATGCTCAGCCTAACAAAAATTAAGGGAGTAAAAGTTGTGGCTATTTAACTCCTCACCTGGTCCTGCTGCTGTTGCCAGGAGGCTTGTCTCATTCCAGACAAAACATGAGCTGTAGGCAAGATTTGTGGCTTGTTTGCAGGAGACAATCCATGAGCATGGGATCAGATATAGTATTAAACCAAACCAAGGCTTAGCTCTGGTTGGCATGGCAGCAGAAGGACCAGGACAAGAGCAAAGTGGACACAAATTTTAATGTGAGTTACCCAGACAGTTGTGCGATCACACTTAGCCCTTGTGCATACATAACACTAAGGCAAACCACGGTTAAGTGCGAGGAAAACAACAAGTTCTTATTAACTTATTGAATTTGGATGCTGGGGATGGCAAGGTAAAGACAGCAAGGAGATTCTTTATTCTATCAATTTCTTGAGTAATACGATTTTTAAAAACTGGTGAATTTGGTCAATTTAGTATATACTGTGGACAGCAGCCTTCTAAAAGGTGAATAACCATTCCAGAGCTATTTTCTGCATTATATATGTGATGTTTTGAACATTTTAAAATGCTATTATTGTTATTACAGTGGTACCTCGGGTTACATATGCTTCAGGTTACAGACGCTTCAGATTACAGACTCCACTAACCCAGAAATAGTACCTCGGGTTAAGAACTTTGCTTCAGGATGAGAACAGAAACCGTGCTGCGGAGGCAGCGAGAGGCCCCATTAGCTAAAGTGGTGCTTCAGGTTAAGAACAGTTTCAGGTTAACAACGGACCTCTAGAATGAATTAAGTTCTTAACCCGAGGTACCACTGCCTTAAGTTATTATTATTATTATTAAGCTATTATTATTATTATTATTATTATTATTATTATTATTATTATTATTATTATTATTATTTAAGAGTGGCTAGGGAAACCCAGGCAGATGGGCAGGGTATAAATAATAAATTAGTAGTAGTAGTAGACACATTTCACGTTCCTTTGCATGGATGTGGTCTGCAAAATTCTACCGCATTTACTCAAGTCTAATGTGCCATCGAATCTAATGCACATCTCAATTTTCAAAACCTTGAAACCAAAAAAAGTATTTGCTGGCGAATCTAAATGTCCCATCAAATCTAATGTATACCTTAATTTTTGCAACATAACTTGGCCAAAAAAAGGTGAGCATTAGATTCAAGTAAATACGGTAATTGCCGAGAATAGATTCCTTGAGGAGCTTTCATTAAACAAATGCATACAAGCAATCTAAATTATACTGCAGTACGAAAACACCTATTTATGGAACCCCCTTTTTCAATGGCCCCTCCCCCCACCCCATTTGTGGAATGCTCTCTTCAGGGAAGTTTGCTTAGTGCCAATGTTGTCAGTTTTTCAGCACTAGGCAAAGGCATTTGGTCCTTGAGATGGTTTGGTTTATTCACTATTATAGTTTTGGTGGTTGGGTGGGGAAGGATATTATCCTTGTTATTTTATTACTGAGTATGAACACTATTAGTATTTTTTATGATTTGATATTTGTTGCATTTTTGTATTTTACCTATTTTCTTAGATGCTTTGAGACATTTTTGCTCTTGCAAAGAGCAACAAATTGAATAAATACATGTAGGTTCTACACAATGTATTCCCCGGAAATCATTAGGAGAGTGTTTGCATAATAAGCTGATGATTTCCATTATTTCCTATGGGAACATTTCTATACTGTGATCCCTCTCCTCCTCCTGCCATGAAATGGCTGCAACCAAATAGCAAAAGAGAGACAAAGGAAAAACTTATTTGTCCAATCTCTCCTGCTGTCTGATTTGTCCCTTCCCTCCCTGTGATTTCCCTCCCCCTCCCCATTATTTCTGTCCAAAAATGGCTGCTGCTGACCAGCAAAGCACAAACAAGGGGAAGTGGGCAAACTGACTGTTAGGATATCTGAATCTGCACTGTGTATAGTGAGGTTTGGGTATAAATCTTTGTGTTCAGGTTAAGTGATTTTTTGCTTAATGAGTGAGCAGATAGTGGGACCTGCGTCTACACATTGCTGAACATTTTTGAGAGAGGGCCACAATCCATAAATACTAGATACTGAGATGAATACAGAGTTTCTCTTTTACTTGGGGATAAGAACAAGCTGGAGCAGCACAATATCCAAGAATCTATGTATTTGAAAGAGCCTTAAGTTGTATTCCGGAAGGCTACTTCCAATCTGCCTGGTTGTAAATAGGCATTTGCTCCATTAGCATGTTCTGGAGAAATGAGAAGTGAACAGATGTCCTTATTCATTTGTGTAATATTCCCTAGGCTATGCAGCACTACCTCTCTCAACTTTAATATGCATGTTTGTTGGCTTCCATCTGTCTCGAGCAATAATGGAGTGGGGGCCTCTGGGGGTGGTCAAACTGCTGGATTAGCAGCACCAGAGTGATCTCCTGGGGGCCTGGGCAGTGTGTGTGGAGGTCCTGGGCTTCCTAGATGACAAGATCCCCTCTCGTGAAGGCAAACTGATGCTACATCTCAGAATATGAATGGGACATGCATTTAGATGGGTGCCATTAGAACATACAAAATTGAAGCCTATCAATTCATTCAAGATCTCAAATTCATAACTGCCCAAAGTCAATTAACAATGTATTATATAATTTAAAAGCACATGTGAAACATCAGAAGCCCAAAAAATCAACAGCTGCTGAACTTTAGAATGGAAATACATATTAAGAAGCATACATATTAATTCCCAATTGTGTGATGAATGTGGGCAGGGAGCATGTGACTGCTGACCCTTCTTTATAACAGCATCCACATGTCATTCATGAGCAAATACAGTTGAGGAATATGCCTTGGGTTGGGTGCAGAATAGATCCTCCCTGAGAGAGGTGGAATAATATGGTACCTCACAATGAAGGGGGGGGGGAGAGTTTCAGCAGTCCAAAACAGCTCCTTCCAAATTCTGAATGCTTTATCAAAGTAGCATTAGGACCAGTTGGCAACTATTGGCTATGGACAGCCAACCAACCAAAAATATATTTTGCTACCCATTCCCCCTTTTCCTACCTTGACATACTGAATGTCTGAGATAGCTCTCACTGAGTAGTCTGGAACATAAACTTGAAGAAATGAGTTCAACTGGTTGTTGCTATTTCCTATCGTTGGTGTCACCGCATCAATGCGATCCCCTCTGTTAAGAGAGTCTGAATGATTCAAGCCACAAGGACGAGGTGGTGACTTGTTTTCAGCTGGGGAAAAAGGAAAGGAAAAGATGCTTCAGAAAAAAATCATATCTTAAGAGACTCACATCTGTTCATGCAGATCCATGTTAAATTTTCCAATTGAAACAGCTTTTTGCTAGAGCTATAATACTGCAGTGTACACTTTCAATCAGATCTCACTACTAAAATCCCAACTCTGAGGTTTCTTATCTTCATCTGTCTAGCTTCAGACCCATTACAGGTGACTTTGTATATAAAGGCCAATTGAGACATAGCAATTCTGTTCTGGTACCTATAATAAGTAGCGTATCCTGATTTACAATCAAGAATCAAAGAGATTGTGGCAACAGGGCCAAAGACCAAGAAGAAGTCAATTTAAGAGGATAATATTAAAGTCTGACCAGATAAAAAAAATAGTTTTCACTTTACAATTTAATTCTAGCCAGTTGCAAATTAATAGCATACTACAAAAGACTCATAACACATTGTATTTAATACCACTTCTCAAACCTTTCTCTTTAGCCAATTATGACCATTCCCTGATATTTCCCATCTTACGTTTTGAAAATACATGAAGGAAGGTGTTTAGTAAACAGGCACAGTTACACATTTTTGTACAGTGGAATAGATTTGAAGCCTTGCAGATACCAGTTTCTTCTGCTATGTTCAAACATCTTAAACATCTGAATATTCCCATGTTACAACAAACCTGTGGAAATTTTAACTATTTCCCTATACACATTTTAAGAATATGAGATCAGAAGTGTAACACTGAACAGTTTCTACAAACCTATACGGTCACACAAAGATGATTTCAAGGCACCATTGTGCAATATTGTGAACAGGCAGCAAACAAGGTGGTGTGGGTATTCCAGGAATTTTTTAACACACAAACAGAACACAGTACGAAAGACTCCTATTGTGCTGGCCATGCAGGAAGACTGCTTTTTTTTTTTAAGAACAAGGAGTCCGAGTTGTAATGTTTCTAGGCACAACAGAAGGCACCAATAATATTTATGAAAGAAGCCAAAACTAGAAACAACCAATTCAGATGTTCAAAATACTGAACATCACTGAGCTATCAAGCAAAAGCTCCTCTTGTAACCTTTTCCTCACTAAGGTCCCATCTAGCCTGTGCATTACAGTATCAATCAGAACAATTGTGTTTATTTGCAGAATAGCCAGTTCATGTAACAATGCAAATAATCAACTGGCTGCAGCAAGGAATGCATATATGATAAAAGGAGGTGAAGAAGGCAAGGAGAAATATCCATGCTCTATCACATTTATGCCACAATAGCTCAGTGTCTAAAATACCATTATGTGGGGATCCTTTATTTCCTTACAACAGCATGCAATAATACAAATTAAGTACATTTATTTCTGCCACCAATAATATAGACAATTTCCTTCTCCCACTTTGATACCCTATGCTGATCAGATAAATGTTAATTAACGGAAACAATTCAAGCTGATCATGGGGTATTTAATTTGGATAATGGGCCTTCTAAACCTATTTGGTTTCACTTGCATGGAATGAACATGGTTTCCTGAAAAATAACAGCTGGTCCACAAATCTAGGTATTGGCACCCAAAACAAGGGCTGATTAGAAGTAATTTAGAGAAGGGTTGCCAAACAGTGATCTGAGGACCACCAGTGATCCACAAGCTACATTCAGGTGGTGCACAGTTGTGTGTCTGATAAAATACAATTAAAAACCGTAAGATGTCTGGTGCAGCACATATCAATTGCTACAATAGGCGGAAAGGTTATTCAGTGGCCTGCCAAGACAATCAGCAATTTTCAAGTAGTCAGTGAGAAAAGTAAGTTTGGGAATCACTAGCTTGAGCACCTTCAACTTTTTCAGCACTGAGGTCAATACTTATTCCACTTCATGACTGCCTGCCTCAAACATGCTTTATGTTTAAGCATGCTAATCTACTAAAAGACAGCAAGACTTGAAAAGCTAATACGTTGCAGTTGAAAATGTGCCTAATTTTAATTTCAAGGCAGTATACTAAACACAGGTGTGGAGGTACTAAATCCTCAAATGACTGCAAGACAAACAGCAGGCAATTAAAACCTATAGTGAGAATCTCCTTGTAGTTTGTAAAGCAAAAAATCAGGAGGTAAGAAGACAGGAAGTATATTTGAAAAATAAGCAAAACAAACACACATTTTTTCTACTGCTGATTAATTACAAAAAGAAAATTGTCAATAATGAGGGAAATGGGTTCCTCCAGAGAATAAACTATACAGAAGCTTTAACTGCACTATCAAGGCAGAGCACATGGTTTTAAGAGAATTCTAACTGCAAATTTATCTCAAGAGTCAAATACATCTAACAAATATATAATTCAAAATATTGACTTTCTTAATTGTTATCCTTGACAGATGTTATATAAATCTCATCTTTTTATATATAAAAAAACCCCAATACCTCAAATCTCCCTGTACACAAACCTAAGGATACATAGCAATGAGAATTTTACTTACAAACATTGTGCAATTTAAATCTGTTCTGCTGTAACTTAAACCCATTAATTTCTTTATCCTTCATGCAGTCCTGGTTACAGTTGTACTTCTCCCCCTTCTTCATGACTATGTTTTAGCTATTGGGCAATTGCTATCACCTGTGTTGCTTTCTAGGCAACACACCCATCTCCCATTAGAAGCATGACACACAGAATGAATACAGAGTTAGTGTAGAATGGGGGGGGGATCTAAAACAAATGACAATATTGTAAATATAAAAATCAGTTGTTTTCAAATCTAAGGTTGATGCCTAGTGTCAAATTTGAGGAAGCTTTGAGCAAAGAAAGATAGTAGCTGGAGCTGCCAACATTTCACTTGCTGCTTCTCTGTCCTTGCTGCTGCCTACGCCTGCATCTTACCCTGACCCCCAATCATATTTAACAGACCAGGCAATGCACTGGGGGCAGCATGCCTCTGGCAGATCAGCTTCTGGGGCAGTAAAAATGGCAGTTGCTGCTGCAGCATCTATAGGCCCCAGCATTTGTCTCAGCATTCAGAGTGGTGCTGCTGGGTCTGCTACAATGTCTCTATCATGTTCTTAGCCAACAACTCAAGTTTTAAAGGTGAAAGAATTTGAATGAAAATTCTTCATCTACATATTATTAAATACCAATAAGCATGAAGTTGGGATGCTGGTGGCGCTGTGGGTAAAACCTCAGCGCCTAGGACTTGCCGATCGTCAGGTCGGCGGTTCGAATCCCCGCGGCGGGGTGCGCTCCTGTCGTTCGGTCCCAGTGCCGGCCAACCTAGCAGTTCGAAAGCACCCCCGGGTGCAAGCAGATAAATAGGGACCGCTTACTAGCGGGAAGGTAAACGGTGTTTCCGTGTGCTGCGCTGGCTTGCCAGATGCAGCTTGTCACGCTGGCCACGTGACCCGGAAGTGTCTTCGGACAGCGCTGGCCCCCGGCCTCTTAAGTGAGATGGGCGCACAACCCCAGAGTCGGACACGACTGGCCCGTACGGGCAGGGGTACCTTTACCTTTACCTTTAAGCATGAAGTTGTATCCCAAAGGTTACAAAGGTTGAGCAAGAGGAAAGCAGATCAAGCAACCCATTTCCCCCTTGGTCTTCTCTCCCTCTACAACCCCCTGGACCCCCTAAAACCCACCTCAGAGGGCAACTGTTTCTATTGAAAAATATTCTTTTAGGTGCTGTGAAAGAAAACTGCTGAAAATTCCCCTCACCCAGACATAGTATTGAAGAAACAAAGCCAGCACTTTGCTGCTCATGTTCAAACCACTGACCGTAGCACAAAGATGGCATAAAAGTGGCATATAGGCAGGACTATAACATTTAAACAGGTTAAATTAACAATATTTAATTAAAAGGTGTCATTAATTGAGCAAGTTATTTTTTTAAAAAAGACTGCTGAACATATTTACTAGACAAACTTACAAAATCTATACGTAGAAGGCACAATCTTTAAAAAAAAACCTATTCCCCCTTTTCCTCACACATCAGGAAATGTCACTTCCAAGATGGTGTCTGCTATAACATAGAATCATAGAATTGGAAGGGACCACGAGGGTCATCTAGTCCAGCCCCTGCAATGCAGGAATATGCAGCTGTCCCATATGGGGATCAAACCTGCAACCCTGGCATAATCAGCACCACACTCTAATCAACTGAGCTATCCAGACTAGGTAAAGGTAAAGGTACCCCTGCCCGTACGGGCCAGTCTTGACAGACTCTAGGGTTATGCACTCATCTCACTCTAGAGGCCGGGAGCCAGCGCTGTCCGCAGATACTTCCGGGTCACGTGGCCAGCGTGACAAAGCTACTCTGGCGAGCCAGAGCCGCACCCGGAAACGCCGTTTACGTTCCCGCTAGTAAGCGGTCCCTATTTATCTACTTGCACCCGAGGGTGCTTTCGAACTACTAGGTTGGCAGGCGCTGGGACCGAGCAACGGGAGCGCACCCCGCTGCAGGGATTCGAACCGCCGACCATACGATCAGCAAGTCCTAGGCACTGAGGTTTTACCCACAGCGCCACCCACGTCCAGGCTAGCTAACACCTAACATGTAGGAACATCGTGGACCATAAGTACTGTTTTATTCATATGCAATTTATGTAAATGTAAATGATTTCATTTACTGACATATGATTAATCAACTAAAATTTCTTTGAATATATAGGAGAGAAAACCTTCAGGACCCACAACTCAAGGGAGCATAACTGCAACCTGAAATTCATATCAACTATGTGGAAGAGTCCATCAGGCCCAAGAGTCTCTCAAACAGTACTGCTGGCTAAGACAGATAGGGATACACACCAGGCCTGGTGCCGTGAAGAAAGCAGATCAAGACCACAGCTGCTCCTCTCAAAGTGACTGAATAAATTCAAGTCAGATTGGATATTCCCCCCCCCCCCAGGTTGGAGCTGCAATACTATGTAATTCCTTCCATTCTGTAGGAAAGTGAGAGGTCAAATTCCTACTAGTTATATAGGAACAGAGAAATCTGGAGGATTCTGTAGACATGCATTATGTAAAATATTTTAGGACTCTTTTTGGGGGGAGGGGGATGGATGCCCATTCAAACAGGTTACAATATAAAGCAGAGAAAATGAGAGAAAACAATTTTAAACTAGGAACAACAAAACAATACTCCTCATATAATTTGAAAGAGCTCCTAAAAATCATATTTCCACCAACCAGCCAGTAAAGCATCATGCCTTGAAGGCCAGTTGAAAGAGATAAGGCTTTCAAAGCCTTCTAGAAACCTGTAGTGTGATGATGTCAGTCCAAGAGAATGGAATTCCAAATCTTTGGGCCACCACAGAGAAGAACTTGTCCCTGGCCATTGACCTTTCAGCTCTAGTGGGAAGACACACCAGAAGAGATTCCAAAGCAGATCTTTAAAGTGTGGACAGGATGGTACAGGAACCTGCAGCTGGGTACAAACCATTTAGGACTTTAAAGGTCAAAACCAGCACCTTAAATTGAGCCTTGAAACCTTGGTAATCAGTACAACTAATATAATTAAGCTGTCACAGACACCAACTGTCTAGACCCTTGTAGGATTCTGGCAGATTCATTTTGGACCAGAAGAAGTTTCTGAACCATCTTTAAAGGCAACCCCATGTAGAGCACATTGCAGGCGTCTAGTCTGGACATGACCAGAGCATGGATCACTGTGGCAAAGTCACCTCCTCTAGATGGGGTGGAGCTGAATCTTGGGGGAAACTCTCCTGGCCGCTGACACCACCATTACTAATTACCACTATGCACTTTCAAAAACCTCAGGCTGTTCTGAGACAATAAAGGGTGCTGAACAAAACTGGATTCCAATTTGCAGAACTCTGTCTTGGTAACAATTCATTTTGCTCACCTTCCAAGATGCCTACCTTTGCACAACCAATACAGAAAGATAATCACAATACAGAAAGATAATCAGCTTCTATCTCATAGAATAGATGATCACTATTAATACAGAGAAGGGGACTGTATCGTGTTGAGCGAGACAAGGTAGATCCCAAGGAACTGGTCCTTCATTATTGAAGGCTGTTATGTCTCTTATCAGGCTGGTTTATCAGGCTTATTGGGAAGCATCTCTGCTGTGACTGAAGTGGTATGTTGTACAGGATTAGGAGATGCTTAGAGAAATCTCAGTGCAGCTAAGGTGCTACTTCCTAGTGCAGGAGTACAAGGAAGTACCTAAGAACAAAAGGTGGCTTTGGGATGTGGAAGTGCTTTGAGTGCCCCAAAGTCCACTTCAGTTATGATGCCTTAGAAGCCAGACACAACTGGAAGAACTAGATGCTGACATGTTTGAGGCTGACAGTGGCAGACGCTGAGGAAATGTCAGCAGGCATCTTGGGAGGCCTGGAAGCCTTAACAAGGAAACACCTGGAGAAGGGGAACAAGAGAAGGCTGCAGGAGTTGGAACTTGGAAGGTCAGAGCAACTTCCATTGGTAGCATGGATATGGATTGCTTGCCTCAATACCTGTAGCTGCAAAAGCATGTTTCCACATGATGAATTGGAATTCTCTAGCTATTTAAGAAGGTTTTTGACCGGGCTTGCAGATATGGCCTGTATGACAGACTGAGGATCAGATTAGACATGTTTATCATGTAATTTCCTTCACAAATACCCAGTACATGGGTGTGGGATAGTGGGTCATACTGAGATGGTGATAAGAGGGGCCTTTAACCCTTTGCCCCTGCTGGGATCCTAGGTTGGATCAGTCTTCCCTTTACCTGCTATTCACAATGGAAGGAAAGCCCCCTTTGGAGCCAATGGGGGATGGTGTGTGTAGATATTGAACACAGTGGGGGTGGGTTAAATGCGCCCTTTCCTCATCTCATGGTTCTGATCAAGCCTGGGGCCTCCTGTGTGAACTATTTGTGAAAGAAAAAACAACTATACAAAGGCAATAGTCACATCTAGTTTGGCCCATTCCTGACTCTTTTTGTAGAGTGCCTTACTTGTCAGAGGTGGCTGTGGAAAGGACTGGCAAAGACATCTTTCAGAGCCCTTTACAAAGGAGCTCTCTCTCTCCTGTGTGCAATCAGAAAGAAACTGGGCAGGGAGTGATCTCCTTCAACAATATCTTTAATTGTTGTTTTAATTGTTGTTAACTGTTGTTTTAAAAAGTCTTCAGTGTTAGCAGTCAAGGAAAGCTTCTCCATGACTGAATATATTATGTGGACTTCCCACAGGCAACTGGTTGGCCACTGGGAGAGCAGGATGCTGGACTAGATGGGGCACTGGCCTGATCCAGCAAGCTCTTCTTACGTTCTTATAAAAGAAGCACTGGTTTTTGTTTCAGTGTCCTTTTGCTATTAACTAATCACAAACATAAGCTCAAGCACCTACCTGTCAGGCATGATCTTGCCTGCATTTCTCCAACAAAATGGGCATCTGGTAAATGCAAGCTGTTGCTGATTCAATAGAGGGTAAGTGCAGTGACAAAAGGGTGAAGAAGAAACGTGCAAGTTTACCTGGAGTACCTGCTGCTAATAATTCTGTTCTGCTGACAACAAAGGTACGAGACAGGGACAAGGGAACTAGACGAAGGAGGGAAGGGAAAAAAAACAGATGAGGTCAGGATCAGTGAGGATGCTGGTATCTATAATCAACAGGAGAGAGGATCAGTTGACACATAATAGAGAACTAAAATACAATTCAAAATTAGAGGAAAAAATAAAGGGGTAGAAAACAATGAAGGGACATAAAGCAATGAAAAGCTGATCAGAATCTTACTAAAATAGTACAAGAAATCAGGAGTTGTGCAACTATACATGTTCCCTGTTTACTAACCATAAACATATGAACAGCTTTTCATTTAGGAACGATAGTTCATTAGTCCTCTTGGGGACCCAGCACTTACTAACAATGATATAAAGCAATGTTTTAATGATATATTGTTTGTTTGTTAGACTGTACACAACTCAGAGATTTTTTTTGAAATATTAATCAGTATGTTAATGCTTTTAAATAAAACTATATGACAAAAAATGAGGTGTGTGTAGCACAAGGCGTCAAGATAGTAGTATTTTAACAAGCTTACCCATTTTGATCGTATGTTACAAAATGCAATGGTAATTCCAGCTCATCCCACTGCGTTAGTCAACATGGGCCTCATAAAATTCAAAACACCACATTGCCATCATTTTTTCCAGACAAGAACAGTGTTTCGTTCTGTAAAGTCTTTTGGCTGTCATCAAAGACAGCTGTTGCAGAGTGAGCTGCAACTTTTATTTCTTACAACTATGAATTCCTTTAAGATTTCATCCTATTCCAGGCATTCTGGAAGATATCAGGCATCAAGACAGTTCAGAGATTGAAATGGTTTAAAAGGAAAATACAGCAGCAACACAACAAGAATCAACACCAGCCACTTTAGTACCAGACCATGCTGACACCAGGCAGGCCTCCTGCTTCTCCCCACACCTCCTCCAAGATGTAAAAGGCATTGCTCTGGAGAAGTGATTATTGCAAGGGAAAAGCTCAAATGGCATCTGGAAGAGGGATTTCTCCCCTCAAATGCAAAAACATGGAAAGAAGTGGGTGAGAATGCAGCACCAGCATGCGATACTAAATTAATCTGTAATGGGACATATTGCAAGAGCAACACTTTCTTTTCCAGTAGAATAGTTGCATAAGAGCAATGCTACAGAAGAAACCAGGGCTTGTCTCACCGTGTCTACCTCCAGAGGCTAGGAAACCCTCTGGAGCAGATTGACAGGAGAGGGGAGAAGAGAAACTGGAAGTCCCATTGTGCAAGTAGATTTCTGTTACACAAGTGGGCAGACACCACTGGATTTTGCCCTATACAGTGGTACCTCGGTTTTTTAACAGCTTAGTTCACAAACAACTTGGAATTCGAGCACCACAAACCCAGAAGTAGGTGTTCCACTTTGTGAATTTTTTTCGGAATCTGAACTGTTCCGTTTTGAGTGTTACACTCCTTTTTCAGTGCCACACTTCCGCTTTGAGTGCCCCCGGCTCCTGCCTGCACTGGAGTAGAAGCTGGATCAGGGCAGCTCAGCTGGGGATCACACAGCCTCCGCTTCCCAGCTAAGAGATCCCCAACCCCACTCCTGCTTGCACAGGAGTAGGAGCTGGATCAGGGCTGCCCACCTGGAGAGGTGCAGGCTCCTTCACACTTTTCCATTAAGGAGTGTGTGGCTGTGTTGTTAATAATAATAATAATAATAATAATAATAATAATAATAATAATAATTTATTATTTATACCCCACCCATCTGGCTGGGTTTTCCCAGCCACTCTGGGCAGCTTCCAACAAAATATTAAAATACAATAGATATTCAGATATTAAAAGCTTCCCTAAACAGGGCTGCCTTCAGAATAGAGAAGTTTAAAGGAGCATAGGGTAGCAATGCAGAGACAGCCCGACAGCTGCCCCAGCAGCAGTTTAGGGGCTCACAGATGCAGCTGCCGGGCTGCCTCCACCTTCACCACCCCAGCACTTATTCTGCCTGGCTGCCTTCAGGTGGTGCAGGGGCTCTGATGCTGAGGTGGGGGCTCCTTTAAACTTCCCCCTTGAGGAGAAGGAGCCTCCAGCTGCAATCTCTCAGCTGGGAAGCAGAGGTTTCCTGCTCCCCAGCTGAGCTGCCCAATCCAGCTCCTACTCGCGTGCAAGCAGGAGCAGGGGTGTGGATCTCTCAGCTGGGGTGGAGGCTTTGCGCTCCCCTGAGCATTTAAAATTAAAACTGAAACTCTCCAGAAAATCACAAAGCCAAAAAACTTACAACTCATGAATAAGCAGCAACACAACAAATTAGAAAAAAAGCAAACAAACTGCAAATGAATCAAAATCACAAGAAAACATAAAACAACACTGACCCTAACCCTAATTCTAATCCTTACCCTAACACTAATCCAATCCTAAAATTAACCCTAATCCAGAAATGGTCTTGTTAGATATTAAAATTCATGTTAAATTGCTATTTTAGAGGTTGTTTTTAAAAGTCTGGAAAGGATTAATTCATTTTGCATTACTTTCTATGGGAAAGCGTGCCTTTGTTTTGGAACACTTTGGTTTTAGAATGGACTTCCGGAATGGATTAAGTTTGAGAACCAAGGTACCACTTTAACTCTAGGCAGCTGCAAATATGTATCTTAGCACAAATATAAATAAATCGCTAAAGGTACTGTACACCTTAGCCTACAGAAAGTATGTGTTGTCTCCCACAGATGAAACGCATAGCAAGTACTCTAAAACAAAGCCAGTTTTGCAACAGGGAACAGGCATAGAAATGCCCACATAATCCCAACAGAGGCTGATCCATTTGGGCCAAAGGGGCACTGCCCCTCCAAACTCAGTCTGCCTTCATCCAGCCCCCACTGGCTTGCCTCCTTACTTATAATTTATATTCTTTAATATTGCATGTCATCTTCCTCCTCCTTGGGATCAACACTGCCCTTGTAGAACTCAGCAGGGAGAAGGATGGGACAAAACTAGAATTACTTGGCTCTGCCCAACACTGGCTCTGGCTCCACCTACTGTTCCATCTCCCTATCTTCCAGCCACCACTGCATAATTCCACAGCATGATGGAGAAAAGCTTTATTATAAAGACAAATATGAACTAATCAAACTCTGGCAAAGGCCTTCTAACAATCTGAACTTCAGAAAATCTGAAGTTCTGTTACCCAGGAAGTTTTCATTAACCAATGTGACAGTCATTCCACTAGGCTGCATAACAAAGGGAGAGAAGTAAAGAAGTGCTGTTGCACTCTGGTTGAGAGATCAGCTGCCTGTGGCTCTCCCCGGCTGTCATTCCATCAGGCTACCTGAACTGTTCTCATCCCAGCTGTTATATGAACTGTAACAGTTCCTTTCCCCCTTGTCTGTCATGTCTTTCAGATTGTAAGTCTGAGGGCAGGGACGATCTTTCTAATTTTGAAAATGAGTTGGGAGCCTTTCTGGTGAAAAAAAACAGATTAAAAATGCTTTAAACAATAAAATAAAATAAAAACCAACTGTCAATACCACCTGATAGGAGCGAGATCAAACTTATGATAGCCTACATCATTATTGAAGAGTTGTACCCCTCACATAATGCAAACCTCTTATTTATATGTTGAAGTGTCAACTACTTGACTACAATTGTTCTGACACCTTAACAAGACATCATTGCTGTTTCTTCTACCCCTTAACCTTGAAGCAATCTGATACCGGCATAGAACCTGAAAGAGACTTATTTGAATGTCTGCTACATCCTCCCACATTCTTCCTTAACACTCTTACTAAATAAGATTCATGGTGCTCCTGTCAGCCAGGTTTTTTTTCTCTCCCCACACTGCTTTGCCATCTAACTGAAGAGGAGTTATTGAGAACTTGAAGGCTTGCACACTATTTTGTGATGTTTTGGTTGGCCTAATAAAAGGTATTGCTCTAATATGGATTTCTGAATTTTTAAAAGATTAATTTATTGATTTGAAAAAAAGATTTGCAATGGTAGGGAGACCTGATCTCCAAGCAGCTTATTTTCTTCTTTTGTCCCGACAATTTTTCAGTACAAAAATTAACAAGAAATGTTAAGCTACCAAATCTAAATACTGTGCTAGATTCGTGCCAATAAACATTCTGCGGCATTCTAATTAAACACTTCTGAGGGCTTAAGGTTTCCTCCATGTCAAGCTGTTTATGTTGACAGGGCACTGTTATGAACTGCTTCATCAGATTTAATCAAAAACTAAATTTGTTCCTCTAGCCCTCAACACCCCAGCAGTAGGGGATGTTTGTTCTGGAAGGAATTTCAAACAGAGAAATTAAGAAATTACCTGGTGATGCTGTGAGAGCCATCACTCCATAGTAAGAGAAAGCACCAGCCTCAAACTTCATTCCCTCTTTCCCAGCCTCCACTTCCACTTTCCCCTGTGGAGAAAAGATGACAATGTTCCTAGTGGGTTCAAAAATATTCCTGCTTTGAGTTAATGTTCATCCCTCATCTGAAGTTCAATAAGATTAACATGTGAGGCAGATAAAGCTTTTGTAAAAAAACAACACAATTTCTTTTTCCATTCATATTCAGTGTTCTAGATACTGCAGTTTCTCAATCATGCATAAATAAATCACAAATATATGGGTAAAAATAATTCTTCAAGATTCTGAATACTTGAAGAAGGCTACACTACATGTATAATATAATCTTTTCAGGGCCTCTGTATAGTTTCATTGCGCAACATATTGTCATAGAATGTTTCAGGTAGCATTTCATGGAAGAGCCCCGACACACACACACACACACACACACACACACACATTGCATCTCAACTTAGTACTAGATGGTTCCCTGTTCTGCTGCCTTATCACCCCATTTTATATGAATGACTAGCAAGAATGTACACTTGCGGCACTGGTGTGGTTAGAATTGCTATCCTATAAAATATCCTGTAACATAACAACAGGTGAACAGTAATCTTGAACTAATGCCAACATTCTGCTACTGTAGGAGCCACTGTAGGTGGACAGAACAGATCCTACTGTCATCCAGCTGTGTATTTTTCTTATATTATCTCCAAATTAAAACTGTACTGCATATAACTATGCATTGATTTGCATTTTTTCTCATGCAACATCATAATATTTTCATACTCAGATAACAATGCAACTTCCTGAAAGCTGTAGCAATGCAACTCTTGCCAGATATATTATTTCTAAGAAAGACTAGAGGGGTGAGAGAAACAAGCAAGTACCACTCATGCATGCCAACTCCAGTTACCTAACCCAAGTGAGAAGGGTGAATATTAGATAAAGGGGCATGCTATTCAGCAGCTGGCAAAAAGCACAATTCTAATGAATTAAACTTGCCCAATTTATTTTCAGAAATATGCATTGCATCCTATGCCAACAGTAAGGACAGGTCTACACAGGTACATCCCACGCTACTGGTTCAACATATTGTAAAGCCCATGGTGTGAGAAGGAGTACCCAAAAGAGGCAGCAAAACATTATGCACAATTCTGCAAACATTATAGGCTTTGCCACTTATCCCCACAGCACACCATTTAGGGAATGGTTGATTTCAGTGTGAATGAGGACAGATACTATTGGCCTTGTAGAAAATCAGCTAATCTGGGTTCTAACATTATTCTCCAAGTAAAAGCAACCTGCATCATGCAGACAGCCATTTCTATATTGCCCTACATATAGGGATCCAGAAGAAAAATGCTATTAACTAACCAGTTTACCTTATTTGTTTCAGTAATTGCTACTCATTATACTCACAGTAATGCTATAACAACTTTTGTAGTGTTAATCAGGAAATTATTCAAAGCAAAAACAGACAATGCTACATCAGGTGTGGCTACTCAAAATGGGTACAATTTTCTCTCTCCCACCCGACAATTCTCTCTAATGCTTTGGCAGTCTAACTTTTGCCATGACGTCATCTTGTTGCGTGTTCCCAGTCCTACATCACTGGCTGTTGCTGGTGGGGGCAACAGTGATAAGTCTGCCAAAAAGCTGCCCTTTTGGACATATGCTCCCTTTCAATAATCATTTCTAATTTGTCTCCAAGAACATTTAGGGCCTTAACAGTTCTTAACTGACTAGTAGAAAAGAAAATCAAGGCCATCTGTGCTATCTCACATACAAGTTCTGCAGCAACCCAGCTCGATGAATGTTTTAATGCTCTAGTAAAGAAGCAGATACTTGTTCCCCTCTCCCCTAATAGAATATTTTGAGTGTGTGTGTGTCCATCTCCACCTCCCCACTAAGTACCAAAGAGATCAGTAGGAAGGGGAGACTGACACAGAAAGCAGGAAAGTGAGATGGATTGTATGACTGAACAGCAACACATAATTCACCATTGGGGCGGGTTTGAACTATTGCTATCCTGACAAATTCTTTTTATGTTACGCATCACATTCCAAGAGAAAGTTGCTATTGTTGGAGAATGCCCACCTATTAGCTGATGTAAAGAAAAGTGGAAGAAGTGTTTTTCACATGAGAAAAAAACTAATATACTAACTGACTAAACAAAGTATCCGAAAGGAACAAAGGATGCATTCCTCATTTTAACTTTTGTGACCTTGCCCCCAAGAAGCTTGAGGAAAAGTAGGCTAGACATACACCACATTCCACAAGATTCACATAAGATGCTACACAAATCACCTCCTTCCATGAAGCAAAGCTACAAAAAGTAACTATCCATATAGTTATAAGTGCACAGGATGACTCCTATAGTTAAGGTGAGTCTGTCATTATAAGCCTCAATATTCTTTAGCTTATAAAATGGGGTATGTCTGGCTGATAACTTCAAACTTGCCATACATGATATAGCTATGAAAGTGCCAAATTTCAAACCGATAAGATTCAAATTGCCACAGACATAGCAAGTTTTAAAAGTGCTGAAAACTGAACTTTGACCGTTATTACCAGTTAACAATAAATCACCACCCCACCCCCCAATTTTGCTGAAAGCCGTGACTGATTTAGTCAGGCTTGTTCAACATCCCACACTTTTGTTGGTTTGGCAAAGTTCTAATCAGTGCAAATGTTATTACAGTTTTCCTGACCCACTGAAATCTATGGAAAACAAATACTGGCAAACTATTACCCTGCACGACAAAGCAAAAGTGAAGCTAAGATTTTGCCAGAAGTGCAGTGTCTGCAGAGGGAGCCACCTAATTTTAATAGGCATAGCACCTACTTTGCCACCACCTGCAATGCCTATTCATATAATTATAAAATATAACATCGGGGTACAGATGATAGATGAGAGCTTGTCAATTCATGTTGGATCTCTGGGTGCATTTGAAAGCATGGGTGACTACATACCACAATCATGCAGACAGCCCCCACAGCTCCCCCTTCCTATATGACAGTGTGGTGCAGTGGTCAGGAATCATCAACCTTTGGGGGTCCACAGACATATTTAGAAACCCCACAAATGCACACACTTCTCTGTAATCCAATCACACTGCAACTCTATATATACTTGAGCCCACAGTGAACGCCACACACTGAATCTCCCCTCACAAATATCCTCCAAAACACACTGAACCCTCATTCCCACAGGAGGTTTGCCAGGACAGTGACCCACCCCCAATATTGAATCTCACAACAACCGTGTGAGGTCGACCATGTGCAAAAATAGTGATTGCATCAATGCAACACACATGCCAGCTACTAGAGGGGACCACATGCCACAACCACACATGTATTCTGCACTGCAACCCTGAAGAGCGTGGACCCTCCAGTCCAAGAGCTGGATGCAAATTCCCTGCTTAACCCTGCTTTTTTGCTTTATAAACGTTATTGGAAATTTTAAAAACATGTACCAAACACAAAACGTTTTCCAAGAGAAATATATGTACAGATGTTAAGACTTTTATCCAGCCATCCACATGGCATCAAAACAAACTTGGAAAACCGTTTTACATTACAAATTCAGCTCACATTCATGATGTTAAGATAATTTCTGAATAGTAGCTGCTCCAACTGAGACAGAAGGCAGATTACTGTACTGCAGTTAATAAACAATAAAACTTAACCCTACTTAATTTTATCCAGCCTGAGAACTTCCATGGATTCTTCACCACTGAAATGGTGAGCAAACCAGTAGCTCAGGGAAAATGCCAACATTACGCGAAAGAACCACCACACATGGAGCCTGGAGGAGGAGGGTGGCTATAGATCAGACCTGGCCCACCAATACAGGAAGCCAAACAAAGAAAGAGCAGATGTGGAGGAGGAGGAATAGGCTGAGAGCTGCAACTCTTGTGGGAGTGGAAGAAGAAAGCCCAGGACAAGAGGACTGAAGAGCCATCAAGGCTACCTGCTGCTGCATCAAGCAGGGCACCAGCTTCCCATTCCTTCGTACAGCTGTGAGGGGCAGGGTGAGATGATCAGTCTTCTATAGTAATCATTCACATGTAAAGCAAAGTGACCTTTGCTTCAGATGTGAATACATTTAAGGGTGACTTATAGTCCAAGGGCAAAGCAGAACAAGACATTAGCAAGTCAGTAGGTGGTGCTGTTCTCTTAGTAAATATAATCGTCCAGAAATGATGGTAAAAGGCAATGCTAGGCTTCAGCGCTGACCACACGTAGCAAACCACCCAAAAAACCTTTTGCCCAGCCTAAATGGTAATATACCTTTTGGGTAGGGAGCATATTTTGCAAAACCTCCCTTTGAGCTTGTTTGCTTCCTTGCTCATTTCCAATCTCTTCCCTGCTTTGGTGCCATTTTCATTGTCTAGTAGGACTTCACTCTCTGGCTGGGATCATGCAAGGAAAATCAAGGATCATGCAATGAATGTAATTACAAGCCAATCAGATTTGGTTACATGATGATGTCATTAACAGTAACCAAAGACAATTAAAAGTACAGTTTGTACATCCTCACGATCAACCAACTCGATAACTATTAGCCTTTACTTCATTTGGACCAACAAACCTTTTCCAGTGCACTCCCCAAAATTGCCAAAAGAGGGAGCTAATTTTTGCCACTGCTGGAACAATTCACAAAAGCACCCTGTATCTACCTTGTCCCTAGTAAATACTATTTGTTTGCTTTCCATTATTTCCTTAGAAATTTTAATTACACATAAATCCTTTTTCACTTCAGAACTTACTAATATTTAATACATGCCTTCACTAATTTTCATCAGAAACTCCAAGCAAAAGAATTTGAACATAAACACTACTGTACTAAAGGAAAGTTGAAGTGCTTCGCTTGATGGCTAAGTGGAAAGCTAGAAAGCACACTAATAATATAATCAGCAGTTGTTTGAATGGCTTTTAAAATGTAAATAGTAGACACAGGCTGTTATGTAAACTCTGATTCACGCAAATAGGAAAAAAAAATGCTACAAGAGTCCCAATCCAAGTCAGAGGATCCGCACTGGCTATTTGTTTTGGGGTTTTTTTAAGCCATTCACGTTTCTAATTTTACCCTAGTGTACTTCATCTAGTTTTGTCCTGACATGCATATCGCAGTCAGGCAGAAAAAAAGCAAGCCAAGCTAGGAACCCTGGCTCCCTTCCCATTACAAGCTCTAAGCCAGCCTTTACCAACCCATGGTTCTTTAGATGTTGAACTACAACTCCCATTATCCCCAACTATTGGCCCAGCTGGTTGGAGCTGACAGGAACTGTAGTCCAACAACATCCAGAGAGCTGAAAAAGGCTACTCTAGGTAGTATATAGAATATAGTTACTGTTGCTGAGATGATGCTCAATTTTGCTGCAGGAGAGAAAGATGCTTATATATTCATAGACCTGACCTGTAAAATTAGAACGAAGTAATCAACAGGCTTGTTTCGCTGATAGAGGTAGCATTCAGGGGCTTTCTTGTTCTTCTCATCATACTTCAACTCCTGAATCACATTGGGATGCTTCAGTAGCCTTAGGAGGATCTTTTCAGACATCTGGGATGGGCCAAATGCTTCAACCTCTGAAGACATAAACACAACTTGACATTTACCCCACGGTGCATTAGATGACTCACGTGGATCACTACTTTGTATCCATTACACAAAATACATTTGCAGACCTAATTTTCGGGTTTTGAAGGCCAAAGTGATCCCCTTATTTATTAAACTGCTCAGAACATATCTTAATATTATTTTTATCATGAAGCAAATAATCACAAATTCAGCCCAGAGACCAATTTTGTGATGCACATCCAGTTCAAAGAAACACATAGTTAATTTTAGCCCCAGAAATGCAGACTTTCTCTTTCAATTAAGTTAGTTTCCAGATTGTGGTAATAGCAGTTTCAATTTAGAGAGATGCAACAATATGAAAATGGTATTAAGGCTATTTAGAAAGCCGGAATCACTAAAGCTTCTTCTTGAATTGTGAATGAAAGTATTTGCTGCAGTGACTGGAGGCTTTTAATATTTGCTTTTTATAGGCCTAGAAGTCCTATATGTGTTTACTTCAGCTCAGTCACCACACAAAATAGAAAAAGGGGCCAGTGAGCCTGATCCAAATAGGTCTGTGATCCAAACAGAATAGCAAAAGTGAGACCATTTTCAAATAACTAGGATTACAGTGGCTGTCACACAATGCTTTCTCCAGTTTTTAAATCTTACTATTTGACACTTCCACAAAGATAAAACTAAAATATTCTCAACATGGGGCACAGTTAATAGTTAATATATTGAAATGCAAAGCACCAATCTCAACATTTCTGCTATATATTTATTCATATTGCTCAAACAGTCTAAATATACTATCTTAAATGGCTCTGAGCAGAATTAATATTTAAGTAATACATCATATCTTCTTACAAAAGCATACAAGCACTAGAATCATAAAGACTGCTTTTGGAGTCCGTGTGTAAGGCATGGACCATTCTGTGCAAATTAGTTTACATTTATTCAATGTAAATCCAACACTCCCTCTCTGGGGAGTCTTTCTCTTGAAGTTGCATTAGCAAATGGGTCCCAACTACAAGATTCCTAGAACATAACTGATATATAACTTCAGCCAACATGCTCTCATGTGAATTGCTCTCTAGTCTAGAGCACAATTTTCTAGAATGAAAGTGATATTCAGAGACAAAAGCTCTTCTAATCCCTAGACTCACTGCTAAGGCTGCCCAAGAATCAGCCAAACTTCTGGACAATGTTAGACTGCAGACATCTGCCCATTCAAAAGAGGGTCAGGATTCCTTTTTTAGTCTAATAGGCTACTATCATACCCACTGAAAGGAATTACAAACTAATATTACAAATCTCCTGAACAGTAGGCATTTAAAAACACCTATAAATCCAGGAACAGCTTGTAGATAGAAGGTTGCATTCTCACTCTTGATTCCAGATGCTCTTCCAATAAAAGACACTTAGCATCACAAACTATTTAATGAAGGGTCCATGATTATATCATTTCCTGAGCTATTTCTTCTGAGAATCTATTTGCTAGAAGTCAGGGCCTGTGTGTGTGTGTTACTTGTAGTTCTGGGTAACTCATGGCCAACTTTTTTATTTAATGAACAAATGAAGAGGAAGGACAGGAAAGGATGCTTAATTCCCTTCCCATTGGGCATTTTATTTCTCAAAATTCCTCAACAAACTCCTTTTGTCCTGCAGGATAAGAGAGAGACGCAGAAACAGAGATTTTGAAAGGAAAAACAGCCAGTAGGGAAGGGGTTAAGTACCCCTTTCCTACCCACCCTCCGCTTCTGTTTACAATACCCAGTAACAGCTTCTCATTAAATTGTTTCTGTTGCCAGTTTTACTTGTGATTGCTGTTAATTTTATGATGCCGATTGGTTTATTTTGTTTCAATTTTTTATTGTTAATAGTGATTTTAATGTTATTGTTTGCTGCTCCGGTATTCTTGGCTGTAGGGTTGTTGGCACCTGTCTGTCTCAAGAGACAATGGAGTGTGGGGGTGAAGTCAAACTGCTGCACTAGCAGCACTAAAATGACTCCCACCAGAGGTACTACCCCTCCCCTAACACTCCATACATACCCAACTGACTAAAGGGGGGGACTGCAAATAATACAGTAAATAAATAAAAGTCACAGAAAACTTCCACAGATTTATATAATTGCAGGGTTGGAAGGGACCCCAAGGGTCATCTATTCCAATGCCCTGCACTGCAGGAATCACGGCTAAAGAATCCCTGACAGATGGTTCTATGTAACATGAAACTTGGCCTTCAGTCTGTTGGAGTCAAAACATGTACAATGTGGCACTTCTACATACCCCCATCTTCCAGATCCATTTTTAAGTTACTGATCCTCCTCTCATTAGTGTCCTGAAGAGCAAGTGTCAAAACTGAATAATGAAGGGAATTAAAACGGGGGGGGGGGGACGGACGACAACACAACAATGGCATGGTGTATCACTCTCTAGGACCCAGCCTTTGTGTCAGCTCGCACTGTCCCACCCACTGTATCAGCAGACTCTACTAGCAAATCAGCTCTTGGACCCCGGAGTGATCAAACTGTGATAAGCCACACTTGCCTGTTGCTAGGAAACGGTGCATTGCCAACAGCAACTGTGGTGATATTTTAACCTTCATTTCGCTGTCTGTCTGTTTGAAGGCAGAGAAGTCCTGCTTTCTCTCTCGATGGGCTACTTTCTTTTTGGTCTTGTTATCAGCTGGAGATGGAGAAATAAAACAATAATTCAATCAGGGTCCAACATGAACACTGGGTGACACTGTTTAGAAACAGGAATAAGCACACATACATTACGCCATTCTCATAAAATAAAAACTCTTGAAGTTATGAGCACAATCACTGCAAACTGCAATCAACAGCACAGGAAGAATCTCATGCACCTATGTGAAGATCTATTCATCTACCTACAAGATTTTGGGGTTATTTCGCTCCTAACACCTGAATAATTGCAAGCATTTAAGTTCAAGTTATAGAGTGAACAAACTTATGACTCTGTTTTCATGCTGTGCTCAGAACATAAAAATCAGCCAAAAGACTTCCTGTATCAGCACAAAGGGGACACCCTGTGCCAGAAGTCATCAGTGCTGCTCTATAAGCAGCACTGTAATGTCCTTTATACATTATACAATAACTCTACAATGGAAGTATTTTGGGAAAGAGTTGATGTGAAAGAAACAACTCACAGATCCTGAAGATCATCAGGAGTGGATTTATTGCTCTCATATATATTTAGTGCGAACAAGAAAACTGTATCAGGTTAGGTGAATTTAATAGATTTTATGAACCAAGTGGAGGAAAGTTGGCCCTGCTGCCTATTAGATTAGCTGTGAAACTAGTAGAAGTGTCTACAACAGCAGTGAAATGCCTAGCCGGGACTGAGATATTTACAGCAATATAGGAATGCTTAGTAGCCAAGTATTGTAAAAGTCCTATGATTTTATTTTTTAAAAATGTTGTTGGCATCCATTGATAGACAATGGGGAGCACCTTGGGGAGGTGAAGCCAAACTGCTGCATTAGCAGCACCGAAGTAACCTCTCTGGGGCCCAAGCTTAGACAGAGTGTGTATGGAGGTCCTGGGCTGCCCATACGACAATACCTCCTCCCCTTTCAGCCTCACTGATGTGATACAAAGGAAAGAAAAGCAATGTGCTTGGCAACAGGATTTGCCAGAAGGCGGAATACAAGGCGCCATCCAACCATCTTAGGGACTCCACTCTGGATTTGTGTAGGGTTCACTCCTTAGCATTTCTTCTCCCAAAGATATCCTGCAAAGCAGTGGAGGTTTAGGATCAGAGTTTTCCTTCTCCTAGATGGGCTACCTTCCTCTACAGCATGTGCAGAAATGCATTCATTGGACCTACTATTGGTCTTGTCCGCTCAATCCACCAGAGCCTGTCTTCATATGCAGGGATGTCCCTAACTTATTGAGGGTTTGAGACCCATTGGCTACCCTCACCTGGTTTAGCCACAAGTCGAAGCCTTTTCATAGTGCTGCTGTCACATGCTGACAGCTTTTAGGAGCCACAGGTGACAGCTGAGTGCAGGATAAGGACCAAAGATGGACAAACTACCCCAGAAGGAGCATGGCATGTCCCCCACCAGAGGCACTACCTCTCCCCTAACACCCCATAGGAAATGAAGAATGAACCAAACAGGAAATGAAGAAAGTTGTAACGGGCAAATGTTTAAAAATCGAAATATTTACAGAATCATTGCTTTCTCTTTATGGTAAAATCAAACCTAACGTATTTTCAAGTGGAAACCCATGATAATTCACAGAAGGGCTTCCATCTTTTCCTGCATCCTACACACACAGGAATTATGTATCATACAGATAGTGAAGTTCCATTTATGCTTTTTCCACTTCCCCTGTAAAGAGTTCCACTGAATGACTGGAACTCAGATATAGCAAATGAACAATTCCTCTCCTTATACCCTCACTTTTTCCTTCCTTTTTAAAGTTACAGTGGGGTGAGGGACAAGAGATCATGCCAATAAGAATGAACCTTTCCCACCCATCCCCTTTTCTTCGAAGGGGAACGGGCAAAAGATGGAAGAGGAGTGATGGATCTCTTGTCTTATTTCAACATTCTTTATTAAGGGAAATGTCTGTAAAAATAACACAAAATTATATATGCTAAAAAGATAACACCCAATGTGATTATATTTAAAAACACTACAATATTTAGCCACAGTATACACACAGTGCATGCAAATTAAAACAGTCACTTTAAACAATACTTAACATCCAGTACAATAAAATACACACAAAAATATAAGGGAAAAAATATAAAAATATCACAACCATAGGAAAACTTACTAAATGCTGTTTGGTACTTTTCTACCACTGCTTACCTAAACAGATTAAAAAGTAATCTACCCAACAGGGTATATGTCTGGTTATCCCCTAAACCAGCTGTCTCTAACTAAATTAAATTTTAAGTGACCAAATTACAATTCCACTGTTTTAAAGCAAGTTTTAGGTTTTATTACAAACAGATGTATATATGCTTAAAAAGTGATAAAGCAAAAGGGGAGATATTCTGTGCTTTTCCCAAGTAATGGTTTTCATGTAATAATGATGTTTTGAGTACCAACAATTTTTATTATTTATAATCGTGTACATAGTTTCTTATAGTGAGTTTTAATGCTGTCTAGAGTATAAGGATGGAGGATAAGTTCAACTAGTCAGCATTTTCAGCAAAGTGACACAATTTACTTCTCCAAGAGTAATATACAGATTGCAGCATAATTATTATTTAGATTTTGTATGTATGTCTCTGACTTTAGCAAAGCGGTTTTTAGCTCAAGAAACACATCAAAATGCAAGAAACAAAAAACGGTGTATTTTAGGATAAAATACATTTAGAAATGTAGGTTCACATTTAAATAAAAAAAATTATGCAGATTCATGTAGAAATGGGCTAGAATAGACTTATGAAAAAACATATGCAAAATTGACACAGATCAGATATCCATTAATGTGTCCACCCCAATTTGAGGGTTTACACTGGATACATTGGCTTTGTGTATATTACAGTTAAATGCTGTACTATTTGTTTAAATACAATTTTTAAGCACTGAATTTTTTCTTTTTATAGTGTGTAATTCTGTATTATTTTTACAGGCACTTTCCTTCATTTACTTGAAGTGTGATAGGAACTATATATTGGGCAATTGCCCAATTTTGGTGCTGTATTTTTCCAATGTTGTTATTGATTCTCTCTATTTGTGTTTCTGAATAAATCTCCTTCCTATGCTGTGGATAGATTCTTCTTCCCCCAAATAACTGAAGGTTGCTTAAAAGAGAGATTGCTGTTGGGGTGTTTACACTCACTCCACTTTTGCCTCTAGTAATGAGACTTTGGAATCGCGGGCAAAATTTGTTTCACCAGAGGTAACAGTGCAACAACACTCGTTTGTCTCTAGCCTATAGTATAGAAGTTTGGAAGAAATTGTTAAGATTGCTGAGTGGAGCACTATTCACCCCAGAGAATGCCTGTCAGTAGTAAAATGTTCTGATAGGCTAAAAGAAAACGTTAGAAAAGACTGCCTGTCATGACAGAGGGGTCTGTGGATGACAAGCACTTTTAATTGGAGTGAAGTTCCAATTCTACTTCATAGATCTTAAGCAATTTATCTCAAAAAATAAACAAGATAGGGAACTTTATTTGAAGGAAGGCTCCAAACTATTTTGAGGGGGGAAATCATGGGGATTAATACTCACTGTACAGATCTGTTTCATCTAGAATCTCAGATTTGATGATCTCTTCAATTACATCTTCCAATGTAACAATGCCCAAGACTTCATAAAAAGGATCCCCTTCCCCTTCATTGTTCACCCGCTGCACTATTGCCAAGTGAGATTTACCTGCACAGAGTAGTAGACCAAGAAATTAGAAATTATAGCAGAATCACTAGCCAGCCGCTGTCAAAATGACATGGATGGATCCTGCAATGAAACAGCAGATGGTTAAAGGGATACTGTCAATCTAAAATACAATTATATCTGAAAGTTCATAACGATTATTAGAATCAGCATAAAGCTGTTTACAGGTAGAACTTGTATGTAGTTGGTCCAAAAATTATAACAGGTGATATTTATAAAAACTCGACCATTCTACGACAACCTTGTATTGGGTTAAGCCTCCAGGCTGTCAGCTGGGAAGAGCTCTAGCCAGGGAGGAAATACTGGCTCCTGGACTAGCAGGTCTTAACACAGTGGCAATGGCCACCGGCCAGGCACAGTCATAGTCACCAGGTCCAGAAATCATGGACTCCATGGCCAATGGGGGCCACCAGAATCAGATCAATTGTGAGTCTCTGATCCTTCTTCACTATTTGTTGGAACTCGCAAAATGGCTGGGAGGCATATAGTAGGCTAGCTGGTGAAATGGATTTTAAGACATCTGTTCCCCTGGGTAGCTGCACATGGCAGACACATGAGACAGACCTGCAGCTGAGTATTTTCAGGTGTGGCAAAGAGAACCACCACTGACTGTATGCCCCAAACTATCCAGCAGCATCTAAAACGCCCTCAGATTCTGCTGCCACTATGCTTCATTTATGATTCTGCAACTTAACCAATCTGCCATGGTGTACTTCAGGCCTGCTAACTGTTCAGCCTTCAAGGAGAGCAGGTTGTATTTAGCACAATTGAAAAGGCTGTTGGCCTCAGTGACCAAGTCCCACCAGTTCATTTACAGTACATATGCTTTTGCCAATGTTTTGTCTGTGTGAACCAGCAAGTGCATGCCCCTGTTCTCCAACATCAAGAGACTTAGACTGAGCTGAACTGCGCAAAGCTCACCAAGTTCCAAGACTTGGAAAAGCTGGGACTTTTCCACATTTCCTAAACCACTTGACGGCTGATGTGAGCCCCCACCCCATCCATAAACAGAAGGGACTGAACAATAGTCAGACTCTCTCACACACTCCCTAACACCATAGCCAACAAAGATGAGAAACAGCGCATAAAAGCTCATGAAAGGAGAGTAAAAGTGATGGTAATATATGGGGCAGCTGAGTACCCAAGAGGACCTTAACTGTCTTTGACCGCAGGCATGTTCAGACTAGGAAGGAGGCAAAAAGATTTCTGGGCTCTTCCTGCCAAGTACAGCAAAAGGAGTCATCCTCATTCACTGCCAACAGGTAAATTTCCAATTTGCTTTGGGAAATTTTCTGATGGCCCCTGTGATCTGAATTAGCATGTTTATTTTACTTGTATTTAGTAAATAGAGGTAGAAATCTTGAAACTGCCAAGCTTGACTAATATTACATTTCCAGCCGCAATCCATTCATTATCACTAATGAACTTATGAAATAGAAAATGTTTCACCTCACCTCACTGACTGTAGCTAAGATGATAATTATTCCTAGTTTACTGACATTCCACATTAGCAAACACCAGATGTATTGTATTATACTGTTCATTTGCAAACAGATGAATTCAATCATATGCTGAATTAAAAGCAGTGCAATAACTTATTTTAACACAGGCAAGTGACAGCCAGTATACTGTCAACTACCATAATTGAACAAATAAGCTTAGATATGCCACTCTCAGACATTTTTTGTTACACCTATTTTTTATACTTCAAATAAATCTATTGATTATACAAATGGTGGGAATTTTAATGCCACAGTTTTACAAGGGGGATCTTCATTACAACAAACATAGAATCATATAATTGCGGAGTTGGAAGGGACCACAAGGGTCATCTAGTCCAACCCTCTGCAATGCAGGAATCTTTTGCCCAGTGTGGGGCTCAAACCCCTGACTCTGAGTCTCAGGCTCTACTGATTGAACTATCCTAGCTGTCAATGATCACTGGTAAACCAAAGTCAATCCAAAGCTTATTAACCATGCAGCAAATTGCACTAAACTATAGTGTCAGAGAGTTCACTAAAGAACAGTTAAACTACCAATTAAAGTCTAGCTAGTCTCACTTCAGATGATTCATTTCCTAGATATTAAAGGACTAAAAAAGAAGCAAACAAACAAAACATCTGAACATCATTGTGTAAACAATTGCAGGGCTGTAAGGCTGTAATCCTGTACATACTTAACCAAGGAGTAAGTCTCACTGAACTCAGTGGTACTTCTGAGAAAATACCCATCGTCTGGGAAGTAATCAAAACAGCCTGATTGACTTTTATTAAACTCATTTGTAGACAATAGGAAATTGGTGGAAGAAGCTGAGATTTACTAAACTAACAAGCATTCAAAGTATTCCATCCAAACTCACTCATGGTCAAAGAATGAAGCTATCTTGGAAAAAATAGACCAGGGAGGGGACCCTAACAACTGACATGAACACTGCATCAGGTCAAACCAATTCAGCTTGGTAAGCTTCACATCTGCTTTCCCAGGGACCTAACATAATCAGTTAAAAACAAATTCTTTGTGAATGCTGTCTGTCGAAAGCTAAATACTTTTGCTATTCCCAGCTTGTGATCATTTAAAAGGAATTTTCCAAAGCAAGGTCTAATATTAGACTCAAAATGAAGTTTCCATTCCACTTACGCGATATTCTCACCAGAGTAACTACTACATAATCTGATTGTCTTGGAGCTACTCGTTTAGATGCAGATGGACATACTTCAAATACCAACTCCACAGCACCAGCAAGACTTATCTTGAAGAGACCTTGTTTTACAATAAAGATCATTATTAGAACAATGATTTGTATTTTTAATTATGCACATGCTAATAAACTATGGAGGATGGACAAATTACTTCCTTGCTCAATTAGAATATTACGAATCTACAATCCAAGTATTGGAAGTTCTCATCAAAGTTTGTTATGTGACTGTAGAACTAATTTTTACCTGCCTGATCATACACCACCAAAGTCAGAAAATATTTTACCACCAGAATGACAGGTGTGGTGGTTTTGAATATCAACTGCATTTTGGTTTTTACATGGCTAGATAATATATAATATGTAAAGTAAGTACTGTATGTCAGACAAGCTCCATTAAGTTTAACCATTTCTAAGATCTTCCATATTAAAGATGAATATTTCAGCTTGACACTTCTGTGGGTTTTTTACTATCATAAAAAGGTAAAGTAAGGAAGACCAAACATTTATATTTTATTCAAACCCACAATCTCCAATAATAATCACTTCATTTTGTTACTGTGTGAGCTTCAGCTCTTTCTATATCAGCTACAACTTATGTCAGTAGGGCATGAGACACTTAATTTCAGGGTTGAGGGTTTGAGCCCCATGCTGGGCAAAAGAGTCGTGCACTGCAAGGGACTGGACTAGATGACCATTGTGGTCTCATCCAACTCCACAATTCTATGATAGCTTTATAGGAATCAAAACACAATGTGTGTTAAGATACCATTGTCTTTTCCATTCGATTACAAATATATTATTTTTGTAAGAATTAGAGGATTATCAGAACCAAAGCGAACAAAATATATTTCCATGCTAATAATTGTGTGTTGAGGTTATAGCTACAGTTTATGTATGTTGTACAGTGGTACCTTGGTTTACGAACTTAATCCATTCCAAAAGTCCGTTCTTAAACCAAAACCATTCTTAAAACTGAGGCGCGCTTTCCCTACTGAGGCCTCCCGCCACCAGTGCCCTTCCACCATTCGGATTCTGTTCTTAGACTGAGGTAAAGTTCTCAAATTGGGACATTGTTTTCGGTTTTGCAGAGTTTGTAAACTGAATTGTTCTTAAACTGGACTGTTCTTAAATGAGGTACCACTGTAATTGGTCAGTGAGCTAACAGGAGAGTGGTGACTTTAGATGACTACACCTGATACAACAATGGACACAGCAGGAATTCTCTGCACACTTGAAACCAGTGGGGCTTAATTTACAAGTTCTTATGCATATGATAGGATGCTCATAATGTAATTCAAAGACTCAAGAACAGCAAAATTATGTGTGCATGAATGTAACTGAATTTCAATGTGACTATGTAGGATTAATTTTGGTTTACAACTTTAAATTGATTACTATCTTAGACGTCTTTAGGAGAAACAGCAAATTTTGATCACAGGACTGAATTATCTGCTACTACAGGATCTCTGATAGGAATCCTACCATCATGGATCTGAATGGATAGTTTCAAGTGTTATCTGAATATTGTGACTTTATCAACCCACAACTTCCAAGTTCCTTTTCTTTCAATTTCTTTAGAGTCCCCCATATTTATCTAAGTTAATGAATTTTATAAATTATTTATTATAATTATAATTATTTCTGTGTAAAGGACCCACCAGGCCAGTGCCTGTTGGTTGGTATAAACAGAGGTACAATTTAGGGACTAGCCAAGAAAAAGACAACGTTCCTGATTATTTCGCAGAAACAAAGACACCAAAACCCACAAAGAACCTAGGCCACTAAAACTACTAGTATCTAAGTGCAACACGAGAAGCTCCAGTTATTTAAATATATTTACATATGGACTATTTTTTCTTCCTTTCCAGTTTTTTTAATCCTGTACATGAAGAAAGCATAATTCATTCCTTTATTACAGGATGTCATCTCTTCTGGGCATACAGTCACTGGATTTAGATGCATGTTTCACTAAGAAGAGTGCAGATACCACTTTCAGCTTCGATAGAAAAGCCTTTCATAACTGATACAAGCATTCACATTACTGATTTATATTCTTTTGGTAGAACATACCAAAAGTTCTGCACCACTGAAAACAGTAACTGAGGAGAAAATATGGTTCAGAAAGCATTGGTCAAATTATTTTTATGTAACTGCAACAGCCTGTGAAAAGCTTCTAATTTAACAGAGCGATCCTAGACATCTGCTCAGAAGAAAGTTCAATGGTGTTTACTCCCAACAACTTAAGCAGCATAAGATTTCAGCCTAAAAGTCATAGTTGATATAG